AATACGTAGTATTCGCCTATATATTTCATTCCTTGTCTTTGTGTATTTCTTTTGGTATTGATGCTAACGAATACTCGCTCCTTTGGACTGTCTCACCGTTAGAAAGACAAGGACATCTTTAACCTACGCAACCATATGTAAACTCGAGGTCATCATTTTGCAAACCAATACATCCATTTAATCTAGTTCAATACATCATTCCATGATGAAGCTAGTATTTATCAAAATAGACCTTTGTTACATATCTACCAACCGCCTGACTGCAATGCATGAAGTCCCAATACTGCGACAATGTTGAGTGCGATTTGCTCGTTTATATCACCACATCACTTGTACTTGTCAGGACTCCAGACATCTATTCTTCTCCCGGGAATATGAAGTGTGAAGCTTTCCTCCTCTGCCACGTCGCCACTTAGGACGAACTCACCGATTAGATGGTGCCAACAACATCTTGATGACAACATCCAAAAGCATACGAGGAGCCTAACGAACGCTGGAGTGACTCGATGGAATGTGGTGGTGTGTTTCATTACTTAATTGTAGTCTTGATCATCGTCTATATTAACACTGATCATCGCCTTTATCAACACCAACATTTAACGTACGCTGTGATCGTAACTGCCCACCAAAAGTAGCTCATTGAATAAACGACAGGTAGCTGAGCTTGCTAAGGCCCGGATCCTCGTTTTGGATCACAATTTGAACGATGAGTGTGGACCTGATATTTGATTAGCATTCATTGCACAGTCTGTGCACAGCCATATTGGACATCAGTCTTCTAGCATGGTTCTCATTAAAGATGTCGTGGACTCATGCTGGATTCCTTTTTATTTCGTTGTAATTTTGAGGTGGTTAGTGATTCGTCACATTTCGCATTTGCTGATGAAGCTGAAGATGAGGAGTGAGCTCCAGGAGCGTAAGAGAAGACATTGATGAACAGGAGCCATGCACAGCCAAGGGCAAAGTCACTGCTGCAAACCAAGCAGGAACTTTGGGGTCTTTGCTAGTCTATTGTTGGTCTGAAGGCTGGAGAACTGACAACGTCACTTCGCATTCTGCACAGCAGTTTTCAGGCCTGTAATACTTTTTTCGATATGGCACTGTTACAGAAATCTACGAGATAGCGGGAAATTGTGTTGTCAATTTGAAAGTAGTTCAGAGCCCAGAGGTAGGTGATATTACGGGGTGCCGAGGCACAGTTTTGCGGGTGAATCATTTTATACTACATACAATTATTTCTGTTTTCACATGAGATCAGGCATCCATGTGTTTCTGGCTTCAAGAAAAAGGAGCGCTTCATGCTCTCAATAGTAAAGAACCAATGGATCACGCCTTTTAACTTCGTCGGTCAGTTGAACACCACAATTTGCTCATATAGCGAGTCAAGGCTGTATATTGGTAGTCATACAGGAGCGACCGCTTATTTGTCTGAGGTGGTGTGGCTCTCTGTGTGGAATCGCAACAATGATTGCAAACGATACCTATCGAACTCCTGTCATGGCCAACAGAAGCAAGGAGACGAGTTTAATCTAACAAGGTGAAATGCTTACGTTTCGTTTGGCTCCATTCGCCATTTTCCTGTCGCTGTGCGCGAACTGTCCCTCAACGATCGTGATGGCTTTTCCGTAGATCAGCTCGAGATCTCCTCAACCTCATTCTTGAAAGCCCTCTAACAGATTCAGGAACCACGTGAAGCTCGACTGGACAAGAACTTTGGCGCCAGCTACCTACCGAATTCTGATGCCGCGTCGGATGGGGATTTGGACCCATGTTATACTGCAGTTTGGCCACTGCGGATCTTCTTACATGTATATTGTGACCTATGACTATGGCTCTGTGAGTTTGAATAGATCTGCAAAGGAAGCAGGTCGTTCAAGAAGACGAGTCCCCTGTTTACGAATGCTGGGGACATGGCTCGTGTCACAGTCTTAAAGTGCAAGCTTAATAGCTGGATTAAGCATGCTTCTCTCCTAATAGATATGAAATATTCAGATGACGTTACCATACGACCATACCTTAATGGAGATTGTCAAACACCAACAAGTAGTCACGACGAGTGCATTTGCATCTTCCAAGACCTCCAGCACTTCATATAGAACGCTATGCCCATTTCTACTGAAACGGTGTAGCAGAGCTAGCCGTTTCGTATTCATTTACAGACCAAGTGTTGACGGATCGTGACGACGAAAAGCAATCAGTCTTGGGTGTGTTGCCATCACTTTGTCAAACGTCCAAAAGTTTCTCAGGATACATGTCATAGATATGGATCTGCTCTAACATCCTTCGGACGTGTTTGCTTCCGGTTATTTCAGGTCAACTATCGAACGAATGTAAACCTACTATAAAGGAACTGCAGAAGCACAATGTTAGGATACAAAGGCTCGTTTATAAGTACGAGCAATAGAAAATACACGTTGTTTAGCCAAATTATTGAGGGTTGGTCAATTTTTTGGTTGAAACTTCATTCGATTTTCGACTTACAACAGCACTAGCGAAAACGAACCACAACAAACTGGGGCCCATGACATACTATAACTCATCGACCAGAAGCCAGAACAGCGTGATGAGAACCTCAAGGCCATCTAATCCTCGTGACACTGCTTCGTTTGGGCTTCACATATACTGTGGTCGCTTCGCAACATAATCACCTGACTTGAGAATGTGGTGGACGTTTGAAGCGCTTCTAGAGGTATTTGGTTCCTGACTCTGATCTCAACTAAAGAGCCTCGCTTCTGATATATGCACCGGCCTCATCGCCAGAATTGCTTCATCCTTGCTTGTCGATATTTATGGTTTACAATTAGATTTCTACACTACGTCATAGGGATGAGCTCTGGAATATTCTTTTGAGTCCCGAGTCTCAGCTACTGGGCCCCTCAAAATCGCTAAAGTTGGTATTGGCCCGCTAGTTGGACTGGTTTTTGAGAATGGAACGATTTAGTGTCTTCTAGTCTGTGACTCAGACACTGGCGTCTCACTACGACCTTCCGAAGTTGCGCTTGAACGACATTGGACTTATCCTTTCTATCTTGAGGCGAGCCTCTATGCTTTCGATCAACAGATTGCATCGATGACAAACGTAGCTGTTTAATGAACGTTGGAATCGAGAGCTTTCGGGATAGTTCTGGCCCAATTCTGATCGCCATGTAAGCGCTTGGTGTATTTAGTCTGCATTCATGTGATAAGACGAAGTTGATCGGTATAATCTTTGAATCATCAGGTGCTTGCAACGTTTTAGAAATTTCAATGTTGGCAGATTGAACTAGATGAAGTGAGCTTCAAAGACAGCCTAGTTTTGAAGACCAAAAGGTAATTTGAATTCCTGAACATGGCATACAACCAGCTTCTGTTAAATTCAGAATTTTTTGATTGCGGCAGTATCTCGAAATGCCCTCATGAGAAACAACACAATGAGAGATATGGGACTTCAGTGCTATGCTCAACGCATCATCAATGATGTGTTTGGACATGGATTAGTCGATCAGAATCTGAACTGTCCTTGAGAAACGAATGGTGCTTTGAACTCGTTCGTGAGACAACCATCCTTTTATGGTTTACTCCCACATTTGACAATCAGACAATTAGGCAACCGATATTTGCGTGACATTTGGAGACAGATCTTTTAGAGCAAACGAAGCTTTTGCTGGTAGGTATTATTTCTTATCGGCTACGTCATGACTCGTGATTAGCTAACCAAAACCGTTTCTCTCATACGCGGTGCAAAGTAGTATGACCGAAATTATCTATTTTCCACGTGCCATGATCAGTAGTAGGCTATTTTCATTCGAACAGAACGCCAACAAACCATCTTCATCCTTGTAGTTTTGGGACGTTGAATGTCAACACCTACACCGTTTTACTTCAACCGTCAAAGCCGCTATCAAGCCTCTATAAACTTGACTTGCAGCTCATCCTGTCTATGAAACCTTGGCTGTAGTCTTTTGTCTCGTTGTTGCAGAATTAAGGAGACGGTAGACCAAACCAAATGCATGGACCAAGCTAAACCAATGTCTCGACGCATCAACTATAATTTCAGGATCGAAAGGGTCTATCTTACCATAGGCTACCGCTAGGTGTTGAACCAATCCAACAAGCTTCGTGGTAGTATCTAACATATAATGACGCAGGCGTGTTTTGACGCAAGAAGAATTGCAAAGAAGTGTTGCGCAACATCCTCCAAATCATAAAGCAAGTGAATGTGTTGAATGGCAGTGCACTGTCATGGGAGGTACCTAACATCCTCTGAGATTTGTCGGTGATTGTCATCCTTTCAAAACATTCCGGATCTGACTTCGCCTTTTGATACATACTAGTGCTCTTTCTGGATCGGCTGGCTCTGCCAATGTGCCCCAAAACCGATCCCTCGCGGCATCAATATTCAAATTGCCGAAATGAATTCAGTCTATCGTTTGGAGGATCTAAGAATAAGCATTTCTCTGCTCTGTCGGCTGATGCAAAGGGCAGACTGATGCTTGCTCGAGGTCCTTCAAACGGGTGTTTGAACTTCTGAATGGTGAAAGAACAACCTCCAAAGCGAATGTACCAAGCCTGTGACATTTGGTAGCGGCAACACAGGGTTTCGACCTCAATTAGTCAAGTCGTAATGATGTAAACAGCAGAAAAATATGAAGCCACTTTTGAAACACGAAAACTGATTGTGATCCATATAAACATTTCACGCGAGGTCTTTGTTTGCAATAAATCTGATAGATACGACGCGGGGAATTGTATGCAAAGATCAAATAACATTGTGAACATGATAAATAACGCGTCTTTAAATGATTGTCTCCGTCGCGAACGGGTCTGTTCACGAAGCTTGCGCAACTTTTTTTTGTTTGAATTGTTGAATGATTCATCAGGCATTGCGAACTGGAGGAACACTATTCTTTAGACGCGTCAAGACAAGTTTAACAGTCACTAGATCCATTCCTAGGCGGTCTCCCCTCTGTAATCACCCGTATTCAACTGCTGGCATCAACATCAGCAACAACACGACGAAAATGGCATCCGACCCTTCGACGATGAGCGTTGATGAGGTCAATCAGGCAATCATAGAGCAAGGCAATAAAGTACGCAGTCTCAAATCTGCCAAAGCTGACAAGGCCCTCATAACAGCTTCAGTCAATGAGCTGCTGAGATTAAAAGAACATTTGAAAAGTTTGGGTGCTGATGCAAGTGCTAGTAGTGATGCCAGTGCTGCTGGTTTCGGCCAGCCAAATGCTGCAAAACATGCCAAAACTAGTACATCTGCTACTCCTGCTGCAACGGATGCAGATGACAAAAAGTTTACACTCAAAACTCCAAAGGTGAGCTAATGTTGACCGTTGCTCTGTCAGTCTCATTACGCTGTGATCTATGTAAAAGTCCTCTCGTTTCTCATTCTTCAATTCAATGTAGGGAACAAGAGACTTCTTGCCTGAAGAAATGACAGTCCGTGAAGGAATGTTTGCCAAAATCACTGAAATCTTTCAAAAGCATGGAGGTGTCACTATCGAAACACCCGTATTCGAACTAAAAGTACGCTACTAACCGAAGGAGCTCTGAATTCACGTTGTTCAAGAGCTTGCAAAAAAGAACCATACCTAGATTGCTGAAGTCTTAACTCTGGTAGGAAATCCTGTCTGGCAAGTATGGTGAAGATTCCAAGCTCATATACGATTTACAAGATCAAGGAGGTGAACTCGCCTCATTACGATATGATCTTACGGTAAGTATTGAGACTTCAACGTCATCATGGCGGATTGCTGCAACGTTTTTCACCCAACCCTTTGCATTTGCTAGGTACCATTCGCCAGGTACTTGGCCATGAGAGACGTTTCTCAAATGAAGAGATATTGTATTGCAAAGGTGTATCGACGTGACAATCCATCTGTGGCTAAAGGTCGTATGAGGGAATTCTATCAATGTGTAAGCAACAGAAAGCGATAACGGTTCACCACAGTATGAGTATTCTCCCACTGACATTACTTACTGCTTATTAGGATTTCGATATTGCAGGAGAATATGAATCACAAGTTCCTGATGCTGAAGCTATCAAAATCATGGTTGAACTGTTGACTGCCCTAGATATTGGTGGTTTCGTAGTCAAAGTAACCTTCTCGTACTCATCATGAAAATACTGAATGTCTACTGAACTCTCATACCATTATCACAACACAGGTCAACAATCGTAAATTATTAGACGGCATGTTTGCGGTCTGTGGAGTACCACCAGAAAAGTTCCGTACCATATCATCAGCAGTGGACAAACTAGACAAGACACCATGGAGTGAAGTCAAACAAGAAATGACGGAAGAAAAGGGTCTACCTGAAGATGTAGCTGATCGCATAGGTACCTATGTCAAACTCCACGGCTCCAAAGACCTGGTCCAACAACTCAAATCCGATACCGCATTCATGAGCAATGCATCAGCAAAAGCAGGTGTTGAAGAGATGGAGTTGCTGTTTAAATATCTAGAGATTTTCGGAGTGGTTGACAAAGTCTCGTTTGACTTGTCACTAGCTCGAGGTCTTGATTATTACACAGGAGTCATTTATGAAGCTGTTTTTACTGCTACGTCAGCCGATGAAGCCAAAGAGATTGAAGGAGTGGGATCTATTGCTGGTGGTGGTCGATATGACAACCTCGTAGGCATGTTTTCACCATCTGGTAAAAAGATACCGTGTGTGGGCATCTCGATTGGTGTTGAACGTGTCTTCTCGATCCTAATGAAGCGAGTGGATAAGAGCAAGTTACGAAGCACAAAGACTGAAGTTTATGTGATGGCTATGGGTAAAGATGGATTATTGGAAGAGAGAATGAGGATTGCCAAAGAGTTGTGGGAGGCTGGTATCAAGGTATGAGGATATGTTGAATCATATAATACTCCTTTTTTTGCTGGCTCAAACTTGGCGGCGAGAACAAAACAGTGAACGCTGAGACTCTTCAAAAACATAGGCCGAATATATGTACAAGGCCAAACCACGACGAGATGCCCAATTCTCTGTCGTAGACCGGGAAAACATACCATATGGTGTCTTTATTGGCGCCTCAGAAGTAGAGCAAGGGATTGTCAAAATCAAGACCATGTATACCAAAATAGAAAGTGAAGGAGACGGCGTGGTGGTCAATCGTCACGATATGGTGGCCGAGTTAAAACGTAGACTGTTGGAAAAGCATTCTTTATAAAAAAAGTCTCAGTATATATATACACACATTTTGATCTCGCTCCCACTCCTCAATTCACAGTTAGCAGAGCGACCTTGTTGAACTTTTATACAATATTTTGAAACAGCTTGATTTGGTATCGTTTTTGTCCAGCATTACACTAATCATTACAAACTCCCTCCTGCAAAAGCATGCCTATCTACAAGGTTTACACCACTCGCGGATCGTTTACACTTTAACAAACTCAACCATCCAAGTTCTTCGAATCCATACTTTGACTTCAGCTTGCCCAAATCCTAGAGTATGCCCACCATCAAGCATTCGACTAATGACGGTATCACGATCAAAGTATGTAGTCTGTCTGTTTTGCGACTTTTTACTACTACCACTACCATTATTTTGACATACGTAGTCAACATCATTACAATCATCTCCGAAATCTGGCAGAGGCACATTGACAACAGCAGGCTCCCACCAACACCGTCGTGTCGGTTTCTTATTCATCAAGGCTGTAGCTAAATGCACCGAGTCTGAGATGTCTTCTGCTACAGAGGTAATCAAATCTACAGCTGAATCCTGTCCTTCTATTTTCACTGCTCCAGGTTGTTCTTGCTGCTGTGATTGATAACTATCTCGGTTGACTTTATTCCTTCCACTACTGTCCAGATACGGCAGCATGGCTACACTCACAATCTTGGATTCTCGTTCATCTACTTCTCGAAAATCCCATTCACGAGTTGGTGCTAGTCGAGTTACACTTCCAACACAAGTTAGTAGTGACTTGTGTTGTACATCAACACCTGGTCCTGATAACAGAATATCATTCTTTCTTGCATTACTACTGCTACTGCCGATATTGATACTACCAATACTATTGACGGGAGATGGAGGAGCAAAACGATGCCCTACTTTTCTAGCGTGCAAAGCGATAGCGATTCCGACATTATACCGTAACTCGAGTAGAGGAGGTCCACCGGTTTCAAATGCCATAGACATGACATCACGTTGATGTTTATTTGGTGGTAGTGCATGCGCTTGTTGTTGAGCAGCACGATTCGCGACTAGAGATCTCCAACCTGGTTGCTGTGGTGGTGGTGCGACGGTAAGCGGACTAGCGTATCCTTCAGGGTGATGGGGAGGGAAGCAAAAGTAATCTAATTCTTCTCTTAATACCATGATTGTTTGAGGTGGTCGTGGTGTTGGTCGAGGAGGAAGTATTGGCGGTACTCGTACGTTATTAATATTACTTGGAGCCAGTCTCGGTTGTGGAATTGGTGCTGCTATATTAGTATGATTGGTACTAGACGATATACTGGCCGACGACGACGATGTGGGATTGCTGTTGTTGACAAAGAAGTATGATTTCAAAGCATTCAAGTGCGGTATAGGGTTTACATATGCGAGATAACCACCCGTAGGATCACCACATCCTGGATCATCTAGATTTATATGTGGTCGTTGTAATGGTGGTGCTGACGAGGATCTCATACCTGGTCCACTAGCTTTAGAAGCTCTAGATGATCTAGATCGCCGTCTACGAGCGATCAATCCCGAGTTTCGTACGTTCTCGATATCAGCCATTTCAGTTTCACGACGTTCTGATATAACTGCTTGAGCCTGTCTCATCACATCTGCAGATGATGAGTAGGACGATGATGACACTGACTGTTCTTGTGTCGAGACCTGTATATTATCTGTCGATATGGCGTATGCAGCAAATCCATAAGCGGAATACTTTGCTGATGTTGAGGTACTATTGCTTGCAGTGGAATACTTTATGGTCAAGGCTTTCTTCAATTTGGCAGATCGTTTGGGAGCAGGTAGGGCTTCATACTGCGTAGCTCGTAAGTATCCAATCAAGAAGCCAAATAGACGAGGATCAAAGTCAATATAGGTGAATCTGTCTGGTTGTAATGCATCTAGATCTTCACCATCGCTGTGATCTTCATCGTCATCTGACTCTTCAAGTTCAGTTTCATATTCACTATCTCGTGGTCCGTTCGTTCGTGATGAAGTGCCAGTGGTAGCATGGCCGATATAAGATGATTTCGTTGGTTTATCATAACTAGATCGATTTGCAGCAGTATGTGCGATGAGTGTCAAGAATGGCACCAATCCTGATGGGAAGATGGTATGGAGAATAGACTCAGGCAGAAGTCCTAGGATAGCAGCTGGTACTTTAAATCTTACACCTCCTCGCAATACGAGATAGACCTGATCTGATGAAGTAGGTCCTGCGACATATTTTCTGGTTGGCATTTACTAGTCAACAAAGAGGAGATCGGACTGTTAAAATGATTGTTCTGCAATTGATCTGAATGATTTATTTTGTTACCTGTATAGTTCCTCGTCTCTATGGGTTGCAACGTGCGAAACCTAAACAACATCTACGAAACATTTCTGTTTGGAGTTTGGAAGCTTTGCAATTTTAACCAGCAACTGGAACTGGAACAATGAAGAGGCACACTCGGATCGTGATTTTACGCGTCTATTAAACGGGCAAACTTAGCAATGCCACTTGAGGGAATTCTGGTCCGCGCTAGTTTGTCAGGAGGAACAATTGACATCCCGAGTTTCAATCTCAGCTTAAAAGGAAACCGGTCATCTTGTTTACATTCCAACCACAAAGAATAGATCATCATGGCTGCTACTCTCTACAGTTACCCCATGGCTGTTTGGTACGTTTCCGGCTGTTGCTTGCACGCTGTCGGAGTGGATGAGTGAGTGACCTTCAAGTTTCGAGACTGATGCGACCAATTTTTCTCTATATAAGGCCTATGGTCCCAGTTCTTACCATGGGAGAGCTCGGCATAAAGGAGGACAAGATCGTGATCAAAACCGTTGACTTTGGCAAGGCTGAGAACTACACTGTTGAATTCATCAAAGATCTAAACAAGGTTTGGGACGGCTTTGAACTGGTTTGAGCTGCCGTATTCTAACTAGAACGTTTGATTTCGATCTAGGAAGGAACTCTACCCATCATAGTCGATGGAAGCACCAAATACACCACCTCAACTGAAGTCGCAGAGTACATCTCTACAAAGTTTGGTGGTGGAAAGCTCATTCCTGCAGACAGGAAGAAAATGGATGAGTGTGCGTTTGCACTCGCTCCCTGCTGGATCAAACTTGAAGCGACCTGACGGGCTTACTCGTTTTTCATGAAATCTAGTGATAACTGCTGCTCACGAGACAGATCCCAAGTAGGTCATATCGAACTAATGCTGTTGCGTGTTCAATCTCGCTGATCTGACACGCAACTCCAACTTTCTAGCTTTGTCATGGCTGCTGGTGAATCAATCGACGAATTCAAGGCTAAAGCTCCGATTATGCTGGGATTCACTTCGGCTCGTATCGATCAACAAAAGAAGCTCATGGTAGATATGCCTGAAATCGTTGCCAGCATGGGACCCAAAGTTGCCGTAAGTCGAGTAGTCGTTGTTGACACGGGATCCTCATTGAGAAAGCATACCAATAACCATGCTCCTTTTGCGCCATGCTTACTTTTGTAGGGTGCAGAATATATGAAACAAGTATACAGTACCCTCAATCCTGAAATGGCTGCTCCACTGATTGCCAAAACCAAGGAAGAATGGACAAAACTGTCCGCCTATCTCGCTAAATTGGAAGCTTCATTGACCGCTTCTGGAGGTCCATTCCTTTTAGGTGCTGACTATACACTAGCTGATGCACATGCTATCCCTGTTATTGCAAGAATCAAGGTAATGCGAAATTGGTTGTCGCAAACGTTGAATCAAGATGATCTCATGCGACCAACATACTATATATAGACTCTACAACGTGGACCTCTCATAGCTACCTTCCCCAAAGTAGCAGCTTACTTTGAAATTGCAAGAAAAAGGCCTTCGTATGCATTTGCATATGGTGGTGCTGATGCAACTCATTAAAAGCATGTCGGGCTAGTTCTTAAACACGAAAAATAATGATGCTCGATAAACTGTAGTTGTGGTGTGACGCCGCTCCTGTTCAAATACTGCAGCAGATTGTTATGGCGCGATTCGGGTTGGAGTGCGTGCTAACTAGCATTATAGCACCCCTCGTATTCGTGAGTTCAGTATATCTCGACTCTTTTTTTGTGTAGCACTGCCTTGCCAGTCAATTGCATTCTCCCATCCTTCCAAACATATTCACCACTTAGAAGAGAGAAAGCTCTAGTATCAGATATAGAAAGGAAGATAGTCATGGATAGGTGCGCGATGGTCTCTCTCACTGCTCTATGGACCTCATGGTTCGGCTCTCGTCATGAAACAACACAAGCTTCCCTTCCTTCTGCTGCTTCCCCAAAGAAGCTTCCCAAACTCAAGAAAGTATATGTAAAACAGCCTTTGCGGGCCAAAAAACGTCGAGGAAAACATGTTCCCGTGTCCCCCGTCTCCCAACACCGTCTCCCAACACCGCCGACCATTTCCCAACATCAACAACATCAACCCCCATCACGCCTTTACAAACAGCACCACCACCCGCGCTGGTACCAGTACCGAACACAATACCGATAGTAATGTAGTAGTAATAATCCTGACGTGACTGCCAAATCTCAACTTGACGAGGCGCTTGCAGAACAGACAGATTGAATGTAGCACTCGAAGAACGAGAACAGGCTCTCCACCACGTCAACAACATGAACAAAATTTTGCATCGTCGATCCGCTAGATTTGCTCATCTAAAAGATAGCTATGCCTTTGAAGTCAAACATCTATAGGAAAGAGGAGTAACGAGAGATACAGAATCGGCTAGAGAAGTTGGCGGTGCTTGAAACGATTACAAGACGCTACTGCCGAGTTGGATTCTCTCAAGAAAGCAAAGAAAGGTCATGGCCAACAGTCTGATTGTCTGGAAAAGGCCAGGTTGATGCCTTGTTGGCAGAATTCGCAGTCCTGTCAGATCATTAGCTCTACCTAAACGGGAACTCGCTGGTCGTGATATTTCCATTTAATGTCAAAAAAAGACCGCAGCTGCACTCCAATCAAAGAACTTGTCGCTGCAAAAGGAAGTGGAAGCTACAGATCTCGAGCTGGAAGATATGAGGAAGCAATTGGAAGGAATCATGGCTCAACGTAAAGCCTAAATTTCGGGCCTTGCAAAGGTAACGTGTGTATTTATAGAACGTTTGTTAATATTGCCTTTGTTTTTATGGTCGTCATGCTAACCAACAATCTGACTATTCTATAGAATGTGAACTCCTGTGGCGTTGCGGTGTCTAATGGTGCTGGATAAAAAGGTGTGCTCGTCGACTTAATCAGTAGTTTCGCCTTCGTCGTCAGTACTTTGTATTTGTGTTCTCTCTCTGTCTTTGATTTCCTTGTTCCCAGACACTAACTCAACAACCCTTTTCACACTACAGCGAGTCGTCTTCTTCCAGCTAATCTCGATCCTCTACGGAATCGGCTTCATCTGCTGAATCATCTCCTATTGATTTACGTGTATCCAAAACCAAACCAATCTTGCCATCATTCGTCTCTACAGGTGCTAGTATGAAGGAATCTATATCTCCAAAAGCCAAACCATTTTTAGATACGAAACATGATAATCAAGTCCGCTCTATGATGGCCATCCCCAACAACAGCCCTAATAGTAACAATAATAGTGCTTCTGGTTCCAACATTGCTGTAGTCGGAGGATCTTCCAGAGTCGGAGCTTTGAAGGCAGGCTGAACTTCGCCAGCCGCTGACACCATCGCACCAAACCTGTAGTCAGTAATATAAAGCCGTCACTTGACTATCGAGACCTCTGTCGTTTCAAACTTCGGTCCAAAGGGATTGTGTGTGTTGCCGATGATTTGGAACCACTAGAAAGGGGTTGACTTGTCCAAAGTAGTGTGGTGTTTCTCTTCATAACATACGAAGATAAAATAAAATCACCTATTTGAACCACAACCAATCATTGTTTCAAAGAGTTGCAATCTATATATGTGTTTTCACTTGATGCCTTTACAAAGATGCGAATATCATTACAAACAATCTAATACAGCTATCTAGCAGCCTTATAATCTTATTGCCTTCTTTTGCCTTTACGAGTAACGAGTTCAAACCCATCTTGATCTATTACAGGTTGGGTATCAACTTGCATTCGTTGATTCCTTCTACTACCAGTTGGTGCCGATCCTTGAAGATCGAAATCACCATCAGCATCCACATTCATACCATCATCCTCCTCATCCTCCTCTTCACCATCATCGTCTACAGTCAAACCTTCCTCATCGTCCTCTTCAGCCTGCAACCGACTCCTCCCAACTCCACTCGCACCACTACTCTGCAACCCCCTCAGCCTCACCAGCTCTGACAAATCCCCCTTATTCACAATCTGATTATACACACTAATAACAGCCTTTGCAACCTGCACTCCCGAGTCGTCTTCCAATGCAATCTTGAGCACGTTGGCAAAGTACTCTTCGATTCCCTCAGCGACATCGTATGGATCTAGCGATGCATAGTTTGTGGATGATACGTAGTGGAGTATATCGTCGAGGAGTGTATTTGCGAGAGATGCTGTTGATGGGCCTGCGGTTTCGTGAGTTATGGCTATTTGGAGGGCAGTCCAGCGGGCAAAGATGAGGGATACGGCTTCGTGGAAGGCTGAAGGTGATGATGGTTGTTGCTGTTGTGTCATTGCTGTAGCGTCCTTAAATAATTTTATAAGCTGTCAATGTTTTTTGTGATGTTTGGAAGCGACAAAAAAAAAAATACCTCGTCCAACACATTCGCTCATATAAAGATGATGATTAGAGCGTGTTTAAACCAGCTAGCTCTAACTAGAGCACCGTCCGTCATAGCATGGACGCGATACACTAGTCGGACATTTACATCTTCTATCGTTAATCGAGGATTGGGCGAGTTTTTCGACGATGCTAAAGATGGTTGGAGGTGGAAGGAAGGTGCTCCAGGTAAGACGAGTTTTGATTCGAATTCGTTGCATATGTATATTTCATTCATTCTCTAACTCGTGTATTCTATGTATTAGGTCGAGCATGGGATGCATCAGAACTACGACAAAAGAGCTTTGATGACTTGCACAAGCTCTGGTTTGTATGCATCAAAGAACAGAATCTATTGGCCTCGCAGGGGGAGGAAGCTAGGCGGTTTAGGTACTTTTTTCCTCATGAGACTCGTGTCAAGAGAGTAAGTGAAATGGACTCGATAATCTATTTTCGCAGGTTTTTTTCCTTCCTCAGAAGCAGTCAGTCGGCACACCGTCAATCTTAATCAAGCTCACCGTCTTCTTCTCACGTAGCTACGGATGACCATGTCTCGCATCAAACTAGTGCTATGGGAAAGACACAAGGCACATACACACGCCATGAACATAGTCACTCGTGAAAAGAGGAGAGAAGAACTGAAAATAGAACTAGCTGAACAAGCATTAGAGCTAGGTAAACAGGCTCCTAATGACTATACTTTGGAACGAGCACTGTCTGAAGAACAGCCATACATACCGCCCAGTCCAAAAGTAGAGAGGATACTACGTAAAGAGCAAGAAGGTGCCAAGAAACCCAGAAACATTAAGGCTGTCAGACCTAATAGAGTAATCAATAGCAATCCATCACTGCAGAAATTCATAGTTTAAACAAGCAATTCTCTTGTTTCCCTCCTTGTATACAACTCAGCAATACAATATTATTTACATCTTGACAGACAGCTCTTGTTTTGTAACATTTCCATTTCAAACATCCTCTAGCTTCAACCTTGAAATTCCACTATCCAGCGACGGTAGAGGGACATGAACTTTGCGACAAATGCTTCAAGATGAATTATGGGTTTGGATCCAAGTCGGATTTGATGTTCCTACGAAACGAAAGGAGAAAAAAGTGTTTGACGACATCTGTACAAACATCACGTTCCTTCAACACATTCCTTTTCTACTCACGTATTGAGCTGCCAATTCAACAATGTTGCCCTTCATTTCTTCAGAGACATCCTTTACTAGATTCAGTGCCAAAGTCTATATTGGTGGGAGTCCGTTGGTTGAGTGCTTTCAACAACACAAGCCATGACACGGTTCTTACGCGAATGATAATGTCTGGAGGAATCATATGTGTCAGCAGTTCATACAGGTAATTTCGAACCACAAGTAACCTGAAAGCAAAAAAAAGCATCACATTTTGCCAAGCAAATCAAGATGCTTTTGCTAAACCAATATACACTCACTGGGCAGGCGTCTGTTCTCTCAAGATGGCACGAGCAACATTGGCAGTAAACTCTTCCCAATCAGGTTTAGTCACAATCTGATCATCAGTGAATGGATATTGTTGTACTTTGGCAGCTTCCAGCATTAATACAGCCTTTCTCATATTTCCATCAGCTTCTTCTGCTAATTTACGAGCGAAGGCTTCTGGTAGTTTCACACTTTCTTTGTGTGCTACTCGTTGCAGGCCAGTCATCATCTATGTAAGTGGAGTCAACGAAAAAAACACAATGCTATGCGATCGGATGATTCGAAGCCTTGTAGCTCGTTACCTCTTCAACACTGGGAGCAGGCACACGAACCAATAGACATCGAGATCGAATAGGTGAAATAATTTTGGATGTCGAGTTGCAACACATGATGATACGTAGATTGCCCATGTACTTTTCCATTGTACGTCGCAATCCAGCTTGTGCATCTCGTGATAATGTATCTGCTTCATTGATGATTACCACTATATGAGAAGATAATGCGTATGTGAGAATGTGATTGCGTGATCGACAAATGGTGTTTGGCCATAAATTGATTGTGTGTCTTTTTTTGTGGTTTACCTTTGAATGCACGTTTGGCGTTCTGATCCACTTGTTGCGTTTGTCCAATATCTTTGAGAAGATCTTGAATAATCACACGATCGTATATTCCAACATCACTTTGAGAAAAGAGATTGAATGTTGAAGTTAGAGTCACTGAATGCATGTTGTTTCCAGCGGAACGCCAAATACCTTGGAGTCAATTCAATATGATAGTTACTAGATACGATATGTATCTCCTTCTTCACATTCGATGGAGTTGTAAACACTTTGACGTCTGTCTTGATCTAATAACGAAGGGGTGATCATTTTGTCAACCCACCATTACACTGACAGCTCAGCACCAACACATCAGCAATCTTCGACATTCAATGTTTATCAAAAGTCCAGAAACCCAACATCTAGTGGATTATTACCTTTTCGACAGCAGTTCCAAACACTTCACGTAAAATCGCCATGATGCGCGTCTTTTTGCCAGCTCCTGATGGTCCATAGACGAGCAAATGAGGTAAGTCCCCGGCAGATGCCTAGAAATATTGAATATTTTTATCTGAGTCAATGGATAATGATCATGGCATTGACGTTTGGAATGTTGCGCAGTCTGAAGAAATCACATAATGTGAATTGATTGAACGTACAAGAGCTTTCAACTGTTCTGACAATGCCTTGTGATAATCTAGTTTGTCTAGAGTGGATGGCCTGTGCTTGTCGACCCATAATTGAGCTACCATGCTGCCTTGCTTGGTGAAAATGTCAAGATTTAGAATGTGTGCACATTTGGATGAACTTTGATTAATTGGGGTTCAAAGCCGAGAGCGCTTCTCAACTGACTAGATACACGTACAAACTAGATCTGCTAACGATATAGATTTTATTTGTCTCTGAAAGCTTCCATTGACCCTTCGTGAGTGCTTTGATGTGATTTTTGAAACATCGGAACGTTGTCTTTGGTGAAGGACTTTGGAGACCTTTCTACTGTGGTTTATTGCATTTGGAATCGATATGCTGTTTTCTTCCGGCTCATCGATGACCTCGTCGCGGTCGTATTTAAATACAACAAATGACGAGACCACATTCAAAGAGGTGGATCGGAAGACAACCTCTGCATGCATGGCAGCAAGCGTGGAAGGAGAATGCAAGAATCCATGCAGACAATTCCAACTTCACCGTTCTCTCTGGGGATTTTCGTTGTCGGCGATAGAAGGAAGATTAATCTAGTGGAATCAACAAAAAAAGGGTTTTCCATCTGGAGTGACACACTAGAATGTGACCTCTATATACCCACCATCAACCGAAAGTCACAAACTTGTAGTAGAGCTTTGTATTGGCGGAGGAACGACAGAACGACCAGATCGTTATCATTGCCCTTAACACCCACGGCATCCAGCAAAGCTCCCTGAAATCATGGGTGTATCCAACGACCAATATTATGACGAGCAAAGCTCCAGATCTGTAGTAGCAAATACGGAGGAATGGACAATGGGTTCCAACAATATGATGACTTGCTCCAACTGTGGAACATCTCAAACTCCATTGTGGAGACGCGACGACCATGGAAGCGTCATATGCAATGCTTGCGGTGAGTTCATCCGATTGATACGTTTTTTCAAAACCCATGATGTGTAAAATCAAAACAAACGCTAATCGCATGGCAACGAAATCGTATATATAGGTCTTTACTTCAAGCTCCATGGCGTACAACGTCCAGTATCTATGAAGAGTGCTGTCTTCAAAAGGAGAAAACGAAACACTCACTCTGCACTCCTTCCGGGAGTTCATCCAAACACAGACAAGACAGAAGTTAGATGGAAGCCAAATAGACTAGAAGATACTAAATCATCTGCTAAACGTTTTGGAGCCCGATCTGGTAGACGTGCTAGTGTAATCAGCGGTGGATCTGCCGATTCAAGTAGCATGACGGGAATCGAACGAACACCATCACCGGATCCTGTAGACGATGTTATTGCACCAGATTCTCCTTTTGCTGCCCTCCTGCAAGCATCTACTTTAGCTCAAGCTGCTGTAGCTCGAAAAGAAGAAGAGGAGCGTAGTAATGGCCTTTACTACCACCACCACAATACCAGTAGTAGTGACAACAATCACCAAAATAATACCCATACCAATACCCTTCCATTCACCTATAATCATACTGCTGCTACCGCTACCGCTTTGCAGCCCGAAGTACCCAATAAACAGGGATGGACTATAGAACATATTGATCGTCAAAGGGCCGAATTGATGCACGAAATACAACGCCTTACAGTAAACGTACACTGGTTGGATGATATGAGAGTTACTATCCAACAGCAGCAGCAACCTCAACCACAGCAACACATCCAACAACAACAACAACCAGCATATAGAATGGACTTGTACCGAAACAATTCAATCTCATCTGCATCATCATCGGGTGCATCCATATCATCCTACTCGCCACCATTGTCACCACAGCACGCTCCACTACCAACACCGTATAACGTATACAACAGTAGTGTCGCATCACCGTGGAGTAATGAACGAGGCATCTCTCCTAACCGATCGCCATCAGCTGATCGTTAATAGGGGCGCAATCAAAAAGATGGACTCTGATTTAAATAGGGAACGTCACAACTTGGGACTTGGGCAAAACCGTCTAAGAAACACTTCAAAAAAAGTCATCATTTTCGTTTGCAAATCCATATGTATAATTCCCTTTTTTTTCGTAACAGAACCAAAAAAATATATCTAGTTTTCTCATTTTTCAAACTCATGATCGTATGTTTGTGATGGTGTGGGTCTTCTCGATAACTTGGATTGTTAAAGGGTGATGTCACTTCGCAAAATCGGTCGCAATTCAAACAAGCAAAACAGAGATCGCATAGACAATAAATCGACTCACAGTACAGTAATGAAACTCCCAAAACGCATCCTCTATACTCCACTATCCCACCGCTCACTCCTCTTCTCATCAACATCAACCTCATTCAACAACAACCAATTCCAAAGGCCAGGTCCACCACCACTAGGAGACGCAAAGCAGCAAAAGGAAATGGAAGAATTGTTGAAGAATGCTGCTAAACAGGCAGAAGCTGATTCTAAAATGGGGAAAGCTCATCCTGATGCGCCAAGTAAAGTGGCATCAGATATTGAATGGACTGGTGATAAAAATCCAATTACTGGGGAGGTTGGTGGATGGATTGGTGATAAGAATCCAATTACGGGGGAAATTGGTGGGCCCCGAGGGCGTGAGCCAACCAGATATGGAGACTGGGAACGAAAAGGAAGGGTGTTTGACTTTTAGGAAAAAAAACCTTCATATTGAACATATGATTATTATATTCTATTTATATAGATCATGTATTAATACATCCTTTCCTTTGTTAAGGGCCTTCAACTTGCATCAGCACTTCTGTTTGGTCGTGTTCGAGGTGCATGCAATGGATAGAGGGTAGTAGAATTAGCAAATGGAAGTCAGAGAACAATTTTGGCCATGGTCGGAACGTCCTTCAAATCGTAAGTTTGCCACACGTCGCATCAAACGAAGCAAGTCAGCACAAGCTTTTGAGAAACAGGAGTAGAGGAATTCAATCATGAAATCTTCCTTTAATCTACAATTTACATTTGGATGTTCTTGGAAATCTCATCGTACACCAACCACAACAACGTGAACTGTTGCTATTTCGCTGCCTTGCTACCGCTTAATTCGGTCTACTGCCTGGTACGTGCATCATTAGAAGTCCATTTCTCGTCCGCTCTCATTGGTACACATGACGTGAAGATTCATCAACATACAACTTGCATCGTTTGCTTATGACATCTCCATTCACTAGAATTCTGAACATGGGAATATTTACTGCGGTGCCCGGCGAACGCACTAGGATCGACAGATTATTACCGATAATTATCCACCCTCCTTCATTAACACCAATGAACACTACACAGCAAGGACCCAGCACGATCTCATTGACCAAACCTGCACTAAGCCAACAGACGGGCAACAATGAACAAACTTTATTTATAAGAAGCACTCCAGTTGTAGTCTTTGGTGTTTACCATCGCTACTACATAGTTGACTTCTCGCACGACTGTTACTATCACGTCTGGAGAGCAGTCAAAGTTGCCAAAGGTTTAGACGCAGTAGGCCAATCAGCAGTCGCTGCCTTAATGTATCTCGCGGAACTCGAGTACCAAAAGCAGTATGGCCCTGTTTTCCCTGTTATTAATGGCCAATTACGTCAAGATAAGAAATTTGGTGGATTAAAGCAACTGCAACTCCTCTATCGAGCTATCGAGAGAATTCGACAATAAGAAGTATCGCGAATACATCGCTGCCAACGGTGAGCGGTTTCTCAGTATCCACAGAATGACTCTCCATGTATGTATCCATTTGAGGCTTATCATTCACTTATTTACTGTTTCTACTCTATTAGTTAGTTCAGAAGTCTCTCAGAGATGTCCCCTGTCAAGGAATCATTCCACTTGTTGCTTGTCACGAGGCAGATCGATTCGTAAGTTAACATATACCAAAGCAGTCATCAATGAAATGTCCACTAAGGGTCTAATCTTTCCTTAGATCGTGCAACGCTGTCGAGCTATAATAAAATCATTGCCAAACCGTGACCAAGAGTCGCAAACTGGCATAGAATCAGCTTAGTCGTCTGTGGCTGGTCACCATCTACAGGCTCTGCAAGCGGACGATATCCCAGCATCCCCTTACAGGATTACGAATAAAATAAACTCAACTTAAAATATTTAACCTGGTAGTATTTGCAACAAAAAGTAAAGTCCATGCCTGTACAAAATAAAACAGTTGGCATATAAATACAATGAGGGCTATCCTTTCTAGATGTTTTTGTGTTGTTTTGAGATCTTTGGTTTCTAGCTTCTATCATTCCCTTTTCAGAGTTCTTCTCCAGCAAATTCAAAGATTTGCGATCCGGACGAAGACGACGAAGGCGGCTCTTTCTCATCATCATCATCATCATCAACCACTTCGTTGATTCGGTCCAAGTCAGTAGCTCCAAACAAGGTAGCGACTTCATAATAACGACGGTATAGTTGAGCTCCTTTGAGCACTCTAGATGGTTCAAATCCAGCACCTAGTGCATCAGCAGCATCTAATAATTCTCGTTTTTGCTTTTGCCGATCGGTATACTTGATAAATTCGGTAATCTGTTGGGCAAGACGGCGATACAATTGTGGGAGACGTTGACGGTTGCCATGGCTGTGTCTGCGTTGGCTGGCAGGTGCCATAGACAGGAGTAGTACTGCTGATACGTGTCCAGGCAATGGCAATTCTTCACTGGCATTTGATGCATCTGGAGTATATGGTACAGACAAGGCAGTAGTAGGTGATTGTGCTTCCGAGTTATCAGCAGACTGGGCCATTGCGCCAAAGGGTGACAAGCAATCTAATGGAGTTTCACCAGTACCTACAGCACATTCATATATAGTGTCAACAGTCCATCCTTGGATGATTTCCAACCAGGCTATAAATCCATTGGCTGCTGGTGTAGTCATTGCTGTTTCTGGAGTCTTTAGAGCAAGAACATCACGTTCTAGACGGCTTGGCGATATATCGTGAGACCGAGCTTGCTCCCATTCAAGATATCCACCCAATTTACGCAAAAAATGTAATACTGGTGCAGTGGTTGCTCGTGGTCCGAGCGATACGGCGTCACATAATAATAAGAGGGTGACTTGGAATCGTTTGCCATGGATGGTCATAAGTTCTCGGAACTTTTCACGAGATACTGTTAGCGATGATGGAGCAGCCAAGCTATTGCTATTGTCGGTATCGGCGTTGAAGGCACTACTATTCATCCAAGGAAGTCCTTCATTGATGCCTGATGACAACCACCCAGCTCCAAGTGGTGCAGCTACTAGATTAGATATGACGCGACGCTGTTCGTCAAGTAGCTCACGGACCAGATCACGGTGTCCTACCCATTGGACTACACGGATTTCAAAGACTTGCCATAAGGCTAGCATTAGAGGCAGTCCAACTTGTAGCAATTCAGGTGCATCTTCTAGATCTAAACCAGCCAATACATCACGTTGGAAGGCAGGAGACTTAGACAAGTCCCAATCAAGACCACCTAAGGGCTTTGTACCTCCAGTGGTAGGAGCATCTGTTACAATACTAGCTGGCAGTGTTGATGGTGATGTGTTTGCTTCAGTTTGATCGGGTCTCATCTCATCCTTGGTGCTTTGTACATAGACTTGCACTGAAGGAGGTCGAGGATGACGGCGAGTGGGACTTCCCTGACTCTTTCTACGACGTACGTCGGCAAAGATACGATCGACGAAACGACGAGTTTCTTTGGGGAAGGATACCATAAGACGACGGACCACCAGGTTGAGCAAGACCGACAAGACCTTGAGTTTACGAGATAGCAAAACGTTGGCACGTTCTGGTCCCGATACTGAGAGCCTGACGGAGTCTAGCAATGCAAATACCCAAGTCAACCAGGCATGTGTTTTCTCTCCAAAGAGAGCAATCATTAATGGATTGGGTGATGGTTGATCTGGTACCAATTCCACTGTGTGAGAGAGAAAAGTTGTGCGTGAGCAACAAAAAGAGATGCGCTACGAGGACAGATAAACGATAACGGATAACGGAATATATAAGCTTACTTGAGATGGGCTTTTTTCCAACAGTCTGAAAGGCAATGTTGAGAGTGACATGATCCTCTACACCAGGCAACTTTTCCTTTCCATCAGGAGTGACAGCTTCTTCAAAGTAGAATATACTCAAGTTCTTCATCCGCGTAGGCTTTGATTCTGTTGAGGCATTCTTGATTCTCTCAACAGTATCATGAAGTTCATGAGCCATCAAGTATTCACGAGCAGCAGCCAATGAGATACGGTTTGATTCAATCATGTATTCGACACATTCGGAGATGGCATGAGGAGGAGCACCAGATGCGACTGCAATATTCTTGGCATGCTATTAAATGGAATGGTTCGTGTTTTTGGAGTGAGATCCCAAGCTTGGCGCAAGTGAAACGTGAGGGCAAAAAAATGAAAGTTGCGACAGATGCATACCAAAGACATATGGCCACGTTGAATACCCTCAGTTGACAAGGCTCTCAGAGCAGCAAGATTTTGAGCAAGCCCAACAGATACCATACACTGTAGAAGGGAAGGAGCAAGTTGGTCACTAATCATCGGTTACAGCAGCAAAAAATATCATAACAACACTGTACCATTGCAAGCTCTTTTGCAGAAGGATTTCCCATCATTCCCAAAGTGTAAGTATAAACAGGATTGGTCTTCAACACACCACCGCGAATACCAACAGATACTGGCAATTCCAATTCACCATAAAAGAAATCAGCATCAACCCAATACTTTGTCAATGGCTTATAATGGTTGGGCACACTCATATCTTTTAAGAGAGCTTCATCGGCAGCACCAGCAGCCCAAGCATGAGCAGCGGCTTCTATAGCTCTCCAATCTTGACCAGTGGCGAGAGCTACAGCGTCAATACCATTCATGATACCCTTGTTGTGAGTTGTGGCACGGAATGGATCGTCGAGAGCCCATTGGTAGGCGTCAATTATACGAGTGCAAACATCTGAGCCAGTGAGAGCTTTGTATGCCATTCCGGATACTGGGATTTTGAAACTTGCCTAAACGAAAAAGTTGGAATTATGAAATACTTCAGCAAAAAATGGCTCGGAAATTTAGCATGAAATGACAAAACCGAACGACATTCCTTCCACATACCTTTGCAAGACGTTCAACGCACAGATTACTAACAATTCTCAATCCAACACGACCACCGGTCAAACCAACCAAGAATGGAGCAGTGCCTTCAGCGACAGTTGAAGCGCAATTTGCACCCATAGCATCACATACATCAATATGAAGATGTACGACCAACCAATATCTCGATGCCATGGCGGTAGAAGAATCCTGACCAAAACGAGGCACCATTCGAACAGTGACGTCTTTAACACCACCACCACGTTTAGCCATGGATTCACAGAATTGGTTTGCGACTTCTAAGATGGATTCTCTCTTGCTTCTCAACTAGGTAGAGAGCAAGTTGGGGTAAGTTTGCAGGCGTTGATGGTTGAGACAGATCAAGACGCAAGAAAGGAACGAAGAGAAAACAAGGATGAAACGTACAATCTCAGCAGCCTGGGCCACATTCTTGACATCCAACAATTGGACCTGAGCAATGATAATATTCCGTTCTGTAGTCACTGCAGTGAAACCACCAAAACAAGAGACGGTCTTTGCAGCACCTGAAGCAGCAGCTACTACAGATGGCTCTTCCATACACATTGGAATGATGATTGGGTTTGAATTGATGGTAAAGTTCAGCGCGAGACCGACGGGTAGACCGAGAGTTCTAAGAAGAGGATACGTTGAAATATGTAAGCATTACAATGATTTTAGTTAACGATAGTTTTTTGACTTAAAAAGGCTTACCCGACACAGTTCTAATTGTCGAGAGAAAGTGAGCGTTAGAACTTGGGATCAAACGCACCGACAAAGACATCAATGGAGAGAACGGAAGCAAAAGCAAACATAAACAAGTCACAAAAAAAACGACACAAATAACAGTATGACATACCTCAATCATATTGTCAGCAATCTGCTCGTCCAAACCACGTATAGGAAACGCCTCTTCAGCAGCACCGTCACTGAGTCCCTGACTACCCAACGACCGATTCATAGCAACACCACTGCCATTAGCATCCGTTTGTGGTTGTTGATCGTGTTGGAAAACAGTACTGCCATTATGTGATGGAGATTGAGACAATGGGACACCATTATTAGCAAGAGCAGGAGTGAATAGATCAGGAAACACGAGTTTCAATTGTGCTTGTCGTTCCTTGATTGCCTTCTTGTAGAAACCAGACCAGATCGAGTGGGATGTGAAAGCTTGTTTCGATGCCATTATTTGAGGTATAGGTAGTTACTCTTTTTTGGTTGTTCAATGATCTATTCCTCTATGGTTAATAAATAGAGGACGTTTCATTGTCTACGGAGGCCTCCGATCAAAAACTCCATGAATCACTAAAATCCAAACTTTGCCGATTAACAACAAATATAATGAAGTCTAGGATTTCAAGGGTTGCGTTTGATGAAACGCGTAGGAACTTCGGAGATTACGCAGTTGCGAGTTCGCTATAGAGCTATCGAAGCTTTTCTTGTGTTGAACAACAACAAAAGTAATTTACTCGCCAAGCAAGCGAGCCCCAACTTTCTCAACAAAGCTATCCTATGTTACGTGAGATTCGGGAGATATATTCTTAGAGCAAAGAAACAACAACACTACCATTATCTAATGACCGAGCTGTGGTTGGCTCCCTGGTCGAACGCTTGTGCCAGCAATTCTCTTGACTGTGCCGTGCTTGGCAGCGTAATCCTTCATTCTGGCCTCTAATTCAGGTCTAAATTGACGAATCAATCCTTGTACTGGCCAAGCCGCAGCATCACCCTATAGATAAACAATCGGTGAATACCTTCAGTCCTGCTAAGCGTTTTTTGTTGCGTGTGAGTAAACTAGTTACCAAAGCACAGATAGTATGACCTTCAATTTGACGAGATATTTCTTCAATCATGTCAATTTCTTCAATACGACCATTACCCTCTTCAAATCTCTTCATCATAGAGGCCATCCATCCAGTTCCTTCACGACATGGTGTACATTGACCACACGATTCATGTTGGTAGAAGGCACTCAATCGTGAAATCATCTTGACTACATCAGTACTTTTATCCATGACAAAGATACCAGCAGTACCCAACCCAGATTGGACGTCCTTCAAAGCATCAAAGTCCATCAATACAGTTTCAGCAGTCTTTCTGGGCAAGATAGGTACAGATGATCCACCGGGTATAATACCAAGCAAGTTATCCCAACCACCACGAATACCACCGGCATGTTTATCAATTAGTTCTTTTAATGGAATACTCATTTCTTCTTCAACGACACATGGATTGTTGACGTGGCCTGAGATACAATATAGTTTGGTACCTTCATTACGCTTACGGCCGAATCCGGCAAACCATGATCCTCCTCGACGCAAGATGGTGGGTGCTACAGCTACGGTTTCTACATTTGCGACAGTGGTTGGGCATCCAAAGACACCGACATCGGCTGGGAATGGAGGCTTAAGACGAGGTTTACCCTGTTTACCCTCGAGAGATTCAATCAAGGCGGTTTCTTCACCACAAATATAGGCACCGGCACCACGGTGTACGTATACGTCAAAGTCATATCCACTACCGCATGCGTTCTAGATAAAATTTGAAGGAATCAAAATATTGCTTTAGGAGTGCTCTGCCACGGGCAAAGGTGCTAAAAAACCGATCCTTTCGGAACATGTAACTGACTGGTATAATGTCTCTGACAACATCTTCAGCAAATTGAGGCATAGAGCGACCCATCGTTCTTTCTTACCTTTCCAATCAAGCCAGCCTTGTAGGCTTCAGTGATGGCTTCTTGAAGATTGGAAGCTTCATTATAAAATTCACCTCGAACATAGATATATGCGGCATTAGCATTCATAGCTCGTCCAGCCAACAAACATCTAGTCAAGGAGTTGCGTAAGAATAGGCAATGGCAAATGGTAGCACCACACAGTTGAAAGTAACAGAACGAAATCATATCACAACAAGAAAAGACCTATGTACATCATACACACCCTTCAACAAGTTTGTGTGGTTCCTTTCTCAATATTTCACGATCTTTACAGGTACCCGGTTCACCCTCATCAGCATTGATGACCAAATAACGAGGGCGACCATCGGGACCACCAGGCTTGTTCATGAAACTCCATTTCAGACCAGAAGGGAAACCAGCACCACCACGACCTCGTAGCCCACTAGCCTTCACTTCATTGATGATCCAAGTGTCGCCTTTCAGCAGGATTTCCTTTGTCTTGTACCAGTCGCCTCTCTTCATGGCGGATGTCAGTCGATGGTCGTGTCGTCCATACAAGTTTGTGAATATACGGTCAGTGTCTTTGAGGCCTCCATGTACTCTTGGAGGAGGAGCGGCGGCCGCCTCAGGAGCTATGGTAGCTAGACTCCTCACCGCTTGTTGCGATGATGCATTGCTTAGTTGTGTTAACACTGGTCGTGTTTTCGCAAACATCTTTGTCTAAACTTGGTATTGACTCAGTCGGAGAAGTGTTTAAATACCATCAATATACGATTCTGATTCGCTACACTCACCTCCTATGGTACAAATATCCCTAGGATTTCACAGCCTGACAAAAATCTGTGCTTTTCGAATGTTGAGGGAAACGTTGACAGGAAGACGAATCGAGACACCAACAAGGACAGAAAGGCAATACGAGTAAGTCGCTCGCAAAGAATGAAATCACAACTTGAGTTCAGTTGATCGAAGGGACGTGATTGTGACGATATTACCTGCTTTAGCTGGAACGAAACGCGAAGACTTCTCTGATGCAAAGTTCATAGTGGCATACGCGACATTTCGATGTGACTGACTACTTTTCACTTTCAACTATCCTTCTATGTCTTACTTCATCAGTAATTGAGCTAAAAGTCTGAAGCAACCCCAACAAAAAACACTTCGGACAAGCTTACAGCTCACACAATTATCTAGTGAAGCAGGCAAAGCAGAGGCCAATATGGGTGAACGACGAGGCTCGAAGATTTCGCTGACTCCGGCCGCCAGTCCAATCACAGGAACTGGTGATAGTTCACTTGGAAACATTGCTGCTCTCCTGGCAGGAGACTCTCCCCCCGCATCCAACCCCATAAGAGAGCGTAGAGGTTCTAAAATGTCGGCATCGCACGTTCCCGTGTCACTTTTAACAGCTGGAGCTGTACGTACATTCGAACTTTTCAACATTTTTCCACGATCAACGCTTTTGACCTCAGCCTGTAACGGATCTGTCTTTGTAGGTCGATTTTGAAGGCTACAATTACTTGAGAGAGTATGAAACTATGGATCCTACCCAAACGAACGATGACGCTCTGGTCATCCCCCGAATGCGGCGAAAAAGCAATGCATCCGAGCTCCAAAGTGCTGGTCGCAAGAGCACTTCAAGTACTTACAGAGACTTTGTCGAGCCTGAAGCCGGGTCTACGGAACAAGTTGGAAAAGATGCTTCTTACTCCATCCTGTCGCCGGAATTGGCTGCAGTTTCAGTAGCTAGTGCTATGAGGAAGTCATTCGAGTCGAAAGGCGACGCCAAAGGTGGTTCACCCCCGATACCGGAATCCGAATTCGCTGAATGGAAGTTTCATAAACGTTTCAATTCGATGCAGAAGCTATGGATTGTAGGGGTGGTTTCATTCACAGCACTTCTTGTACGTATTTTACGAAACGTTGATTGACTTGTATTGGAGGCCTTGAATGTTGATATGTATCTTCTATAGCTTCCGATGTCCACAACCTTCTATTATCCGGTATGCTTGATGTACTGCGTGCTCATATTCGCTGCCACGTCAAGCAGTAAGATTGACTTCAACCACCCACGCAAGACCGTCCCGCGCAAGACCGTTCGAGCGATTGCAGCGTGCATATTAGTACATAACTGACCTAAATTTTGTTTCATTGTCTAGGCGGTCGTCAACCTACAGAACGATTTGCAGACTACAGATGTAGTGATAAACGCTTCAATCACAGTATACGTGTTGCTGGTAGCAGTAGGCCCATTGTTCCTTGCCCCGATAAGTGACGTATACGGTCGCAGAATAGTATACTTGGTCTCTACATTGCTGTTCTTTGTCACATCCATTATGCTGGGTTTCATAAGTTCAGTGTGGCAACTTTTTCTGCTGAGGGCGCTGCAAGCTCTGGGATGCTCCCCAGTGCTCGCTATAGGAGCCGGCATAGTTGGTGATGTGTTCCGTGAGTAGACACGCCATAGTGATTGGTCACGTTGGTATTTTGCTGATTGCGAGTGTTTTCACAACTAGCCGTGCACCAACGAGGACGAGCCATGGGCGCATTCTTGGGGCTGCAGATCGTTGGACCTATAATTGGTCCCGTGAGTACAAGTAGAGTCGTTCGACAATCTTTCGAGCCTTTCCATGATCAATGATTTTTTGTAGCTAACTGCGGTTTTTTAGATGCTGGGAGGCGTAATTACGGGCCTCCTAAACTGGCGCTCGCTGTTTTGGGTACTCGCTGGTCTTGGTTTTGTCGCGTTTGTCCTTGTCTTCTTCTTTCTACCAGGTACACTAGCATTTCCAACCAACTCGTCTATCATATTAACAACGGCTAATTATCATCGTCACCTACCCCACATTTTCATTTCATATCTAGAAACCTTCGTTCCAGTTGGATATGATCACTTGAAATATCCCCCGATAACGATGGCGTACCTCTTGAAGAATCCATTCAAGCGACGTGTGCTCTCCCCTGTGGGAACTTTGGCCGTGATGTACTATCCCAGTGTGTGGATGGTCACGGCATTCGCATGTGCTAGTTTCGCTGCACTTTACTTCTTAAACACGAGTATTGCGCGTGATTATCAGAGCTTGTATGGATTCAGTGCTTTGGAGAGTGGCCTTGTGTATATGGCGATGGGACTTGGATTGATGTTTGGATCTGCTGTTGGTAAGAACATTATCTTGTGCCAGATACGTCTCCCGGGAAGCCACTGATTCCTTCATGGATTGTGATATCCAAAAATTGATTCTCTGCTTTCTTTGAATCAGGTGGATGGGCTGCCGACTTCTTCTACGAAAGAGCTCGCAAAGCTAGTAAAACTGGCCAAGTTGCGCCAGAGTCACGACTTCCTTCAAGCTTAATAGGAGCTTCTATAGTTCCAATAGGGCTGCTTTTACATGGCTGGCTTCTCACTGCGGGCGCCCCGTGGTGGGGCCCTTGTATAGGACAGTTTATCTGTAAGTTTTGCTTTGCTGATATCCAGCAATTGGACAAGTCCTTCCCTTTTCTACCTGCCTTATTCATCGTCAACTAAATTTCAAATTCGATAGATGGGTTTGGTCAACTAATTGCTGTGACAACAACAGCTACGTATCTTGTCGAGCTTTTCCAAAAGAATGCGTCTGGAGTTATTGCAACCAATAATTTCATTCGTGGACTCTTCGGAGCTGTCGCTGCTCTAGTCATCACACCGCTAGAAAGTGCTGTAGGCGCCGGATGGTCATTTACAATAGCTGCAGCCGGAACAGTGTTTGGCGGATTATGTGTCTTGCTAGTCTTCATGTATGGCGAAATAGACAGACAAGTAAGAATTGTTTTTACATGCACAACATTTCACGTCGTTCTAACTCATTAAACCCCCCAATTACTCGTAGCGATATGAGAGATGGAATCCCTCTGTAGTGAACCAAGTAAAAAACACATAAAACACTTGCATCTCTTCTAAATAACAATTTTAATATCTGACCCATGCTTATATAATTTACATTTTGGCTTCTATGATTGTTTCGAGAACTGGCCTACAGCAGCTTGATACAACTCGTCATTAACTGTCTTCAACTGCTTATTGACTTGTTTGAGTCTAGCGATTTCACTCCTCAATTGCTCTACTTCTGATTGTGTTGAATCCAGTCCTGAAGCATCATGTGCTAGTCGTAATGATAATGGCAACTCATCCACAAAGTCTGAAAGAACGAAATTTCAATGTTGGAGAGAAAAACATTGGCGATGAGTACACATGGATCTTACCTGATCGTTTCCGTTTTCGTGACTGCTCTTCATCCATGTGTGTTGGTACAGCCACGACTTCTTGATTATCCGTGTCGGACGTCATGTGTCGTCTGAATGTGGACACTGTGCTGCTCTTCAATGTTGATTTTGGATCCAACAAGTCTGGTGGTCGGATGATTACATGTAGACCAGTCAATGGCACTAACACACAAAACGGTGTCAACAGGGCCAATTTGGAGAAGCGTCGTCAACCAAAAAATCCCTCGGCATTCGCGCATGATACCTTTGTGGTCTGAGAATGTTCTCAGTGCTTGACGAGAAATCACATCCCATACTATAGCAGTCTTATCCATAGACGTTGACACCAACAATGTGGAATCGAATGAGAGAGCAAGGCCTGTGATTTTGCCACTAAAAATAAAAAGTTCAGAATCTTGATTTGACAGAGGGTTTTTTTAACGTTTGTGGATTCAAAAACTTACGTGTGTGAACTATACGTCAATGCACCACCATCCTCAATACCTTTATTTCTCATCGTCCTTCTACTCCCATCACCCTGCTTAGGAAACAACTCAGTGCCATAAATCACACCCAAATCACCACCAGCGAACAATCTCGTCTCTGGTGGATCCACAGCTATACACACTATCGGTGTTGGGAACAAGATGGTGAATAACAGTGTTTTGCTATACAGTTGCCATGTCTTTACTGTTCGATCAATCGAAGCAGTGTATGCTCGAGCAGATTGTAATAGCGACATTGACAAGTACATGTCGGTTATTGGGAGTGTGTGAGACGTTAATGTGATGTCTGGTATAGGTTTTTTGGATTTAGAAAAGAGGGTTGAGAGACTCCATGAATGGCATAGAGCGTCGTCGCCTGCTGTTATGAGAGCATGGTCGTCTGTTGAGAATTTCATGATGCGGATGGCTCGATAGTGCGCGTCGATCACGTTCAATAGTCTGCCCGTACTGATCTAAAATCAGAAAAAAGAATCAGCTCTCAGCGTAGGCAATAATTTATGTTTCTGTTGTGTTTTTTTTTGGCCTGACCTCCCACACGTATAGCTTGCCGCTCTCTCCTCCTCCAACGCAAAAGAGTCCAGAATGTGTTATAACCAACGATCCCATCTTTTCTGGTAATGTCATCCGTGTATGTGGTTGATCCTATCGAATTTGGTCAGTTTTTTTTTTTGCTTCATTAAGTTGATCTAAGCTCCCTATACCTTCAACCAACTCCAATAATGAAGAGTAGGGCGATCAGATACAACAGCCAAGATACCACACGTTCTTCCTCCTGCATTGACTACTGGAAGAACACTGGATGCAACGCCACTTGCATGGCAACTTTTCAAACTAGCTATTGCCGCTCCTGACCTAATATCCCATACATGAGCCACTGATAGCGTATCATTGTTGCTCGTAGCTGCATTGAACGTGATGGCCACTTCTGCAAATGACATAGTTGTCAAGCTTGTAAAGGTGTCGAACTACAAGTTGATGCTTTATAAAAACAGAAGACACTGGCCGATGCCATGAATAGTCGGTAAGGGAATTAGACGATTTGATATTTTATTCGGAACTACGCGCGTTTATCTTCTGCATCAGCGTGTAAAGTTGGAAATTTGGGAAAACACCGCAATTTCAAGTCGATCTTCCAGGAGGCTTCGCGTCAGGCTGGACAACGTTTTAAGACCTTGTAACAATACCCTACCACAAGTTAACACATCGATCTGCTTCTCTCTGGGAAGCGATCGTCAAGTTTTTTCCTTGCCAGGGGACAAAACAAAGTCCCAATATTAGTCACTGCAACGATGCGAAAAATGTTCCCACGTAAGGTGAAGCAGTCTGCGGACGACGATGATATAGAGGGATTTGCAGATCGCTTGCCATTGGTGTACCCTAGAATTAGAAGGAGGTCTGAATGTGGTCAGCGCATTTTCCGTCGCCAATCTGAACATTCTACTCCTATTAGACGACGGCTTTCTCGACTATCTGCTACAAGAGTGACGGTAGCTTTATATGATTTAGCAAGCGATAGAGAAGAGAGCTTTGCAGATTATGAGCTCAACCCAGAGATTCTGCTGCCAGCCGAAGTCAGCACAATTCAAACGTTGAGTAAGGCAGAGGTCAGATTCGTTGCTGATCGCAAACAGCATATGGTTGCTGCTTTCGCTCGATATCTGTCTGTCGATGAGAGTCTTGTGGTTGCTGAGGTAAGCGATTTCTCGTACAGCAGGCAGGAGGAGAATTTACCACATACAATGATAAGAATGTGTGGTTGTTCGTTGCATCTCTGTGTCAGATACAAAGTTAAACACCTTGCGTACCTTTTCTAATCGTTTCGCGTTCATTCAAAGGACATTCCAACCATTGGGGTTGGACTCTCAGGAGGCGGTTTCAGAGCATTAATAGATGCAGCTGCGGTACTTTCGTTTTTGAAGGTCGAAGGCCTATACGACATTACCACATACATTGCATCGATAAGTGGTGGTGCAGTCGCCTTAGGCCTTTACAATACCTTGGCAGAGCAAAATCCGGAAACGCTGTATCAACATATACTGGCTCGATTTGGAAGTAACGGAAGACTGAAAGATTGCCCTGCTATGCTGAAGGATATTCTGAGTAGGCCAAATGGCGTCCGAAGAATATTAGCAGGTAACATGTGCAAGTTACGTTCTTTGCGTTCAGCATACTGACAGTTTGGTAAACTTATAGGCATACAAGACAAGGTACTCACGCATACTCCAGTGACTTTGGTACGTTTGTTTAAGGTCTGTTTGAAAATCAATGTATTTTCGTAAATCCTGATATCTTTTTCTTTGTAGGCTGACTTCATTCAGTGAGAATTTGGCAGTTCAACGAAAAGTTGCAGACTTCAGTACTTGTGCTCATAACTTTTGCGTAGATCTTTAGCCATGGGATGGATATTCACACCTACAGACGGCACTAGCGGAATAGGCTTTGACTGGATGAAGTTATCAAACCAGCAGGGCTTCATTCATAATGGGGCTGGAGTACGTTGCTGAAGCTCGCAAGCTTTCATTTTTCAGAGCTCGTCGCTTACAGTTCCGCAACTGTGTCTTAGCCCATGCCAATCTACCTTGCAACACGACAGAACCATCCCCTAAAGGAAGGTATAAAGCCATTCTCAAGACCAGTGCCAGGAGGAGACAAGAGCAATGTAAGCATTTTTCGTCAATCAATGGACAATTTTTCATGGAATTCCTCTGCGTGTAGGTTGGAAAACACGCTCCAGAGCTGTCCACGTTCCCAGAAACGTGGGAATTCAATCCGTATGAAATTGGGGCTGAACTTTGGGGGTGGTGCCCCACGTACGCCTTTGGGCGGACATTCGTAGATTCTAAGTCGACGAATAGAGTCCCGGAAGCTAGTTTCTTGTCGTGAGTCTTTACACATTTTTACCCCAAATAATGTCTTGTCTGACATGATGTTGTTGCTGCGCAGACAACTGATTGTGATGAGTTCAATGGAGTCATCGCCGTTTCAGAGCTATTATGAAGTTCTAACGTCTCAGACGACAGGATTTTCTCGTTGGTTTCTGGGTCGCATAGTAAGTCTTGAGCTGTCGTTTCCTTTTCTGATAAGCCAACTCAATGCTTTTAATCTTGCTAGGCACATTGTGTAAGTCTCTCCATATTTATTCCTTGTGTAAGAAGAACCTACCTCATCGTTTCTGTTGATTCTAGTGTGACTCGTTACCTGAAGAACTGGAAGGAAGACTGATTCAAAAGCCGGTATTCAAAGAAGGTACATTCGCGACATCTTTTGGAGTTTGTAATGAAATTGAAATGACGTTTTATTCCATTTCTTACACGATACACATATCCCGAATAGCTCAATTTCCTAACCCGTTCCTTCGAACATCTGAACCATTACCCGGCGAAGGTGTCTTAAAAGAAAAGTACATTGGTCTGACAGGTACGTTCTCCTGGTCACACGAGACCCCATTGTTACAAAGACATTGATTGTTTCTTCCTTCATCTAAATAGACGGTGGCCTGACTTTGAATGTGCCCTTCATGGCATTTCTCAGGCATGATCGAGTCGTCGACGTGGGAATCCAATTTGATGATGGTACTCCCTATACTGCAATGGAGCCTTTCAATGATGTATTGGAATTCGTCAAACAGTACAAGAATGTCACTCTGGTTCCGGAAAAGCCTGAAGTGTTGGATGCATACAACACGATTTGGGGGGTTGATTCCTCTAAATTGACACCCGCCGAAATAAGAGAGACTTATGGTCGATTCTATGCTCAGGTAGGGTACAGCAAGACGCATCATTGCTATCATATACGTGTGCCTAAACGAAGGAGTCTCTTGATACATAGGTTTTCCAAGGAATACCTAGTCCGCATATTGGCCCGCATGGAGAGCCTTGTGGACAGGAAACACCATTTACAGTCGTATATTGTCCGCAACTGCCACATGGATCGAACCCGACATTTGATCCTCTACAGGTCCCATTTTCAAGCCTTTCCTTCGACAGTAGAGGCGTTGAGGACTTGTACCAGAACTCGTTGTCAGTTTGTGAGGAGGCAGCTTCTACCATCAAAGAGCAAATCCGGAAGGCGTGGTTGAACAAGAAGAGCCAACGTGAGGCTAAACTCCGGGACTCTTTGAAAAACGAGGGATGAAGTTGTCGTTAATTATAAGTAGATAATGATAATTTACACTTTAACACAAATAATACGCATCTCTACACATCTCTTCGATTCTTTCACAGTGTGGGAACCTATCAACTTCCAACCACAAAATACTTTTGTAACTTTTGTCATCTTTTGCATACAATACAACAATCTAATTTATTCTATCTATCTCAAGTCTTTGATGAAGCTAGTAGTAATTGACTGATCTGATATCCTGCGCTTCTAGCTGACAATGCTATCTTTCGGGATTTTTTTCGGTCTGGCATCTATGCGCGACACCAACGCTAATTTCCTCGTCTCTCACAGCAAGTCACGACAACAGAGTAGGAGGACATGTAAAACCTGGCCTCTTTCAGACTGTGACACGTGTTACACGTGTTATACTTTGCCATCACCACCACTCAACCCGGATGGTGACAACATAGAAGAAAAAGCAAAACGAGGCAGTAGCAGGTTAAGATGGTGCTAGATCTTCATTTCGAGTCCTGCGGATACGTTGCTTGTGAAGGAAGATCCCTCCAATCCTACGTTTGCAGTCATCGACAACATCACCGGCCAACCTGAACTTGATCTTGTTTGACAGTCACGTATCAAGACGTGCTATATGACATGTGGCGATGTACTTGTGACTACTGGTGGTTGAAGCTCCGACTTTGATCTGAAGTTTGGACGCCTTCGTGAACGCAATCACAGTGCATACTGCCTCGCTCTCGCAGCCATCTTGAACGTATTATGCCGGTATTCGGACATGATTTAAAGTCATGCCGACGTGCCTCTGTGGATTTGCATCGTATTTGAGTCGTGTCGGACGCCATGGATTAGTGATATAGGTGGTAACTGTTATTCCAGCTACTCTCAATCTCCTGCAACGTGTGGATTTACAACTTGTTAACGCTTCTCTCAGCGTACTTTGTAGAGGTCATCATTCTATCCCAAGGTTGAGGACAACCTACTTCACAAGATTTCAACAGCTCAGGATTCCAAAACATGAAGGTTCAGGGTCAACTAGATGGTCCACTGGGCCTTAAATTACATTCTCTTGGTTGTTTGCTGATATTCGGCTGCGTGAGGATGGTTAAAGATGCATTGTATGAGGGCGCCTCTTTGTAAGAAATGAGATCATCTTGACCTGTGAAGCTGGACTCTAAAGCATCTTGCACTGACGTTAGTGCCAGATGTGGTGAAAGTCGTTGATGGTATGCCTTACCCTGAATTCAAAGGTCTTGTTTGATAGTAGAGGAAACACATAATGTAGCATCAACTTACATTGTCCGGTCACGCAGCTGGATACCCACAAGAGCACCTTCGCTCTGCGTGCGTACTCTAGTTCTCGGAGGGGAGTCACTTTTGCAAAATTTCTGATCTGCCTCCCACTAAACCTTTCTCAGGCCACCGTGGAACGTGTGGGACAGTCAGTTTACAAGAAGGCCATCGTAGTGTATCTTGAACTCGAGTCTTCGAATGCCTCTGTCTTGTAAAACGGTCAATGCCCGTTTTATGAATCTAGGCAACTTTTCTAATGATTCGTCACATACTACCGAAGTTTAGGTGCTTTGCTTTCATCGCTGTGATGTCACGCTTTGAGATTAAGTCAATACTAAGGGGAGAATGTCGCCATCGACACAGAAACTATGGCTGACCGGTCGGCAGACGCTTATAACGTGACTTGACGACAATGTTTGATGAAATCTCCACAGTTCGCCCGCCGCTTTGGGAGAGCCCTCTAGCCACAGTAAGGCACTAGCCATTGCATATAAAAAAGGCTGAGAAGGTCAAGCCTTTTTTACCAAGAACCGGACCAACTGTCAGTTATCAACGAACTTAATATGGCCTTATACCATTTATCGCCGGTCTCTAGCATCTCAAATGGTCACCACAACTACTTGATGGAGGTGCGGTTGAATCGGATTTCGTAGTCAACTATCGATATACGCGCAACAAAATATACTTCTGTAGCCACCAAGTGCCATAATAGACCTTTGCAGTTCATCAAAGATCAAAGTATCTCAAATACACGTACTGTAACTTGATGCACGGTTTCTGGTTGAAATATTCGCCTTTCGACTCTTCACCGACGAATTGAACAACAGATGAGGTATTCGACCAAACACTTGAAATATCAAAGTGCTAAAACTTAATTCGACAAAACAATTACTGTGAGCTATGAGGCTAGTCCGATTCCTGATGACTTGGTCCCACAACCATTCGCGGTCTAGTACTTGGAACCGCTCGACCCAAAACATTCAAAGGCCAAGACTCGTGTTGCTGTGGTAGAACGAACTTTCGAACATACAGGATGCAATGTCCTGTTATACTGTTGTGACTTTATGCTGGCCTGGCTCTCTCTGATCTAATTGGGATGGGACTTGGTAGAGTCTGCAACGAGGGCGAAATTAATCATGTTGATTGAACCGACAGCAGAACGACATCAAAGGAGTTTCAGACTTCAATTATATGTGCTATTCATGCTACATCTTAATCCTCCGCAGGTGTTGGCAATCTTGCCTCGCTTTGATCTCAACCCCATATGTTGGACGTGATGTGTGATGTGTGAAGTCGAGCATGCCTCAAGCAACTCTAAAGCATGACATTCACAAACGAAACTTATTCCAAGAGGCTGGTGATCAGAGTCGCTACCTTTAGCGATTCACTTTCGACTGCTCGCAGCCAATGACGAGACTCATCAACAGGATCACTGACTCATCACTGTTTAAGGATGAAATGAATAGCCTTCGATGAATGAAGGAATAATGTCTCCGCCGTATATGTGTTGTGTGTCAGTGCCGTTATTGCTTCGCTCACCTTGTGACATTCATGGCATGGCCTCTGTGCACGAGGATTACACTCTCAATCGCTTTGATCTATTTGCGAGACAACGGACTTTCGCTTTTTGGTCCCATTTCGAAGGCCATGAACTGTTAAACTGGTTGTTTTACAGTCAGTTAAGAATATCGTTTGGAACAAGGCCAATATTATTTCAATTTCGGGACGTGTCTGAACTTCTATTACTGCAATTCTGACAGACAATTACTCACGAAAATTAAACATGGAAATCTTGGGAACGACCGGACTGCCAAAGGCTCAGAGCAGTTTTTCCTTCACCCGTGTCTCCAGGCTTGCTAGACATGATTCATCGCAAGTCCAGATTGCACTATCGTATATGGGCTTGTGAAATCATAGACGAACTGTATTGAAACCAATGGGCATCCCGGAAATATTTCTTTTGGAAATATTGAGGTCGTTGAAACACTCTTGAGAATTACATATACGCTCCTACATTAGTAGAAGTCAGTGAAGAATCTGTCATTCTTCATCATATTTATAACCTAATTTGTTGTGCATCACTAGAACCGTTTCTAAATTGATGCATCTTACAAAACGTTCACAACTTACTGGTTCAAAGGGCAAAGCAAAGTGTATCGATCGACAAATATCTTTCCACATGACGACTGATTCAACTTTAAGTTCCGTCTCGACTTTCGCCAGCCTACGCTTCGTGACGTTTTTCGTCGACGCTCCAACTGCGTCCAAAATTCAAAAAGTGTTGTAATCATGAAAATTTCACAGATTTACAATAATTAACTGGCGTTCAGGGAAAGAAAACATGCTCTGAAAAGTAGTCCGTATCGTGACTGATCTTTCGCTTCCATTATTGGGCGTTAGCACTTTTGCTGGCATTTCTTCGCAATTAGCTTGATCTAGGTTTGCCATTTCGATACAATTGGCCTTCTAGGTTCAGAAACGCCACAGACGATTTAATCCTAACGGATCCTCATCCGAACACTCAAGGATTATTTGGAATACGTCTTTTCTCTCCTCTACTAAAACCGATGAGTCTGACTGTTCCTCGAATTTCAATTTCATCGCGTTTTGGAAACTAAGAATAAGCATTGATGGTTCTCCAGTAGTCTATGGAATGCGGCAACTGAAGAACAGGCTGTTCGCCTTTGCAAACGTTGTGCTCGCGTCCGGAATCATTCTCTTACATTCTTGTCTTTATCATTTTCTACAGAAACACACATTTCATATCTCATACGCTAACATTTCCTTCCAGCTTCAGTTTACCAAACTAGAGAGACTTCGTAAGACTTCTTCCCAAGTCTCAATTGTCTCAGTCAAAGACATCTGGGTTCTCTTCAATAGCCACATCCATATACGATTGAGCGCACAACCACCCGTATCGTGGCGTGTTGTTCTTTGCTTGTTTCAAAGCAGCTTCCTCATTTATCATGATGGGCTTTCTACCAGTGGCTTCTACTCTGAGTTGGGTATCGCATGCCTTTTCCATGCTCACAAACCACCAGACAGCTTCATCCACGGTGTGCATTCCAACAGAGAGTAAACTGGAAGAAGCATAGTAACCACATAAGTTCTTCTGGATCTAAGATGATGCAATACGTCTAGTTTTGAGATATCTTACCCGTGGTTTTGAAGGATGCAGCCTTGATCTCCTCTCTTAAGCCTCTTTCCGATCGCAATACCTTCATCTCGTCCGAAAACAGCACCGTTGAATTCAGGGAAGATGGCAAGTCTAAATGCCGAGAAGTCGAATATAAGAATTTGGCGAATTGAGACCAGCCTTATTTGCCTCTTTAAGATTACGGCACTCGTTGGATTGGAGCACACTTTTCCTCGTTTACCAAAGCAGCAACATACGACAAGTATACATACCTCTTGTAATGTGCGCACGAGTCCTGTGTTAGTGGGTCTAAATCACGCCCAAACACACTCCAAGCTTTGCCTGCGGGAGTATGCATATGGGCGACAACATTCACCCAGGGGCAGGCTTCATGCACTCCAGCGTGGATAGCATAAGCAGCCGCATTAATCGGTCGATCACCGTATACGACCTCCCCATCCAAATTGACGGCTACAAGATCAGATACTTTGATAAACTTCCAGTGTAGGCCATACGGATTCAGCCAGAATATGTCTTTGTGCTCTGGATCTCTAATAATAATACGTCATGTAAGTTTGGTGGGCAGTCCTTGATCGTACACCAGCTCACTTGCCTAACTGAGACGTGTCCAGCAAAGGACTCGTTGTAGTCGAGTTTGGCAAAGACACGGAATGCTACAAAGCACAACAACATAATCAGTACCAAGTACAGGATCATCACTTGAAGCACTGATGATAGCTACCTAAAGCAAGGCGACGTTTCAAATGATAGCGTTCTTCTTCCACGGTTTTGAAAATGGGTTGGAGTCGTGGAAGCTTGTACTTGATACCGGTGATGTTGCCATTCGAGTCCCGAATTTGCTCAGCATGTTTACTAGCAAAAGGGGCGACGTCTGGTCTATGGGAATGAAATGACATGCGTGAGCAACGTCGACAAGAACGATTACAAAACCAAACGCAAGAAAACTTACGGAAGATTCTTCTTGCTGTCCAGTTGTCTGAATATACTCTCAAGCCTTTGACTAGCTGCAGTGGTAGACATGTCTCCAGTTCGTAAAGTTTTCGAATAATGGTTAGGTGATGCAATGGGAACTTTGGTTGAGCCACCGCAATCCAGAAACACGTCGCCAAAAACACTCTCCTGACACCATTACTGATAAATATAAAGTCGTTGTTTATTGTTTAGCAATGAGGAACGTGAAACTATTAGATCTACTCTAAATCTAATCATATCAACGGGCAACCGTCTTTTTGTTTTTGCGGCCAAAATCTTTGGACACCGCAGCCTTGCCTGACGGTTTCTTCTTCTTACCACCACAATTTGGCCTCTCATTCGCATCTCCATCGTCGTCGTCATCATTCCCACCACCACCATTCCCTCGATTTCGGCCTGTGGGAAGTGACTTGTCATCCGAGTGTCTCCACAGATACGTGGTGAACCCACTACAGGTTGAGAGCGTATCACCAGTCTTATTGAATTTGGCTATGCAGTGTATCCCCGTGACCCGCGGGTCCTCCATCCTAGAGACAATATCGGCATTGCCTGTAACGTCTGAATAATGGTATACATCTACAGTTCGTCGGTCACCTACTCACAGAAATCAGTATTTCACTTCTAAAAGTTGATTGCGTTGGCGTTCGTCGCCGCTTCATACCTGTGTCTTCTGGATATCGTCCAATGGTAAAGATCCCGTTGATTGAAGGATGCCATGAAGCAGCAATAGCGGTAATATGTTGAAAAGGTCGATGAGGATGACGTAGTATTGCTAATGGTGTTGAACCAGCAGACGAATCAGATGAGTATAGTCTGATCTGACTGTCTTGGCTTGTCGTCAATAGGGTATATGGAGCAACCGGCGAGAAGGTTGCTATTTTGAACTTGTTCCGTGAGTATAAGGTCATTCAAACAGTGGCAAACATCCCAAATGACCATATTTCTTAACATAAACACTCACCGCAGTTGAGATTTCCATTATGAGGAAGAGTTTGGAGGGGAACAATTGCACCATCTTGCGGATGCTGACGAAGTTGTCTTATGTCCCAAATCCGCACAGCTTTGTCATTCCCGGCACTGACAAAGATGTGTGGCTGAGTCGGATGGACTAACAAATTGGGCTGAGAGCGATTCAAATATCACAGTTTGATTGTGGATTGTTACCTTCTATATGCTGAATCTTGCCCTTGTGAAGTTTACCACTCCACAAAACACCTGCAAAAAAATATGGAAGGTCAATAATCCCATCCAAAGTGACTTTGAAACGGGTTTGCGATAAAGTACCTCCATCAAAATCTGTTATCGCGGCCTCTCCAGTAGTTTTGCCAACAATCAGTGAGCGATCGGTTATGTCGAGACCCGTCCTAGCAAAGCGTAATTTGGAAAACAAGATGGCGAAACGCTAGAAAGCGAATTGACATACCACCATTTTTCTCTGTCCATTGTGTCCAAGAAGAAAGCCGACGCCCTTCCTTCAAAGTCTTGGCGTTTAACGCACCCATCGATACTGCTGGTGAAGATGAAGTTGGGGAGATTGGGATGGAATCGCATAGCAGTGATGGAGCCTCCTTTACCCGTTCCGTAGAGAAACGGGAGCTCTGGAGGTAAATCTTCTTCGTCATCGTCAGCATTACGTTCCCTTCTACGAGGCTCGCTCATAAAAGAATAACCACGATGGCTACTGTCTTTTCCTTCAGCATCAAACCACACTATATCGCCTCCTTTTGAAGCTAGAGCAACGATGTTCGGGTACGAAGGATGCCATTCTATACAAGTCACTCGTCGATCAAAGAAGGCAGCCGTGCGAGCAATCCTGAATCGTTCGAGTCTTGACACATATAGCTGCTTCTTCCACAATTGCATCGCGTGGGGCGACCATATTTCTCGCTCCGAAACACGTTGAGTAGCAGGCAATCTGGTGAATACCTTATGCACAGTGCTTGGATATGGTTCTTTAAACTCCTTTTCTAAACAAGATGTAGTCAAGTTTAATGTTGTAAACGAAATGTGTGATGAAACGTGAATCGAGGGACAAATGAGCTCTGCACACAGTCAAAGCTCATTCCAGTGATGATATAACAACTGATCTTTGCGTTTCCGTTGTAGTTCGACCAGTGTTGGTCAAGCTGCCGTCAGTCAACGTTAACGCACCTTTCTTTACTTGAGGTTTGCGCTTCTTTGTCACGATCTGGACTTCTTCATCAGACGCGTCATCAGCATCATCTGAATCTTCGTCAGGCGATTTTGCCCGTTTCTTGGCCATATTTACTCGCAGAATTGTAGGTTTGGATGGTTCAAATTGCCAACAAACAACCAACAACCAAAATCAAATGCTGCGATCCTTCCTTATCACGTATAGTGCAAGATGCAGCGGACTCTCAAAATATCGGATTTATTATGCTCGTCATTCTATAACTAGAGCTGCCTGTTTTCGACGTTTCCTAAGTACTGGGATCGCTAGTATTTCCATTCTGTCCGCAGCGGCAACAAGGCCTGGAATATCACTGCAAGAAGCTGAGTCGCCCTCGGAACTAATAAGTTATACGATCAAGCCTGTATCTCCTTGGAAGGTTCTTCGTCGGATTGGGTTTTTGGTAGGACATCTGTTTTGATTGTCGAATTTCCGCAAACCATCACATACGAATACTCTTCTGGTGAATATAGGGATGTTTATTTCTTCCAGTGATTCTCACATTCCCTATATGGTATTGCTTGATCCGTGGCCAATGGTGGACAAAACTGGTGTGCTGGACGTTTGAAAGGGCTGGCGCAACCTTTATAAAGGCAAGTCGAGATTAACAATCAATCCCTCGTCCGTTGATATATGAACCCCATTCATTCATCTCTTAGTTGGGCCAATGGAGTGCTACACGATCAGACCTGTTTCCCAACGACGTGAGGGAAGTCTTTTCACGTCTACAGAATCACGTAAGACCACACTCCTACCACGCTACTCGAGCAACCATTAAAGCGGAACTCGGAGCCGAAATCGAAGAAATCTTTGAAGAATTCGACGGTGTCCCCATTGGCGTCGGTGCTATAGCTCAAGTTTATCGAGCAAAGCTACGAGGACAACCCAACAACCACAATCCAGCTGCAAAAATCATGTATCCAACCCCTGGGGTAGAGTTGAAAGAGCAGTCGTCAAATTATGTTGCAGTCAAGGTCTTGCATCCAAACGTCGAAACGGAAGTGTACATTGATCTACTGTTGTTGAAATGGGCTAGTCAGACAATATCACGTATCTCAGCCCTTCGATGGGTCAGCCTATCGGATGAGGCTCAAACATTCTCCAAGATGATGATTGACCAATTGGATTTGGCTAGAGAAGCAAGACATCTAGCTCAGGTAAGCCAAAGTAACGTCGTGTCGGTTGTGGCGTATCGGTCTGACTCATTTCATTTTGTAGTTTCGGCGTGAATTCAAGAAATGGAGATACATCACGTTTCCAACACCATACAGAGTGAGATTGTCTCAGGATGGACACGTCGAGTGCTCAGTACTTGAGGAGGACGGGGTGATAGAGACGCATAGAGTGTGAGTTTGACAAGTTCTATAAATCGCTGATGACCCTCTCTACAAGTTTGTTTCGATAGTCTTGTGGAGGAACATATAGATGGGTCGCCTCTCAGCAAGTTCTTGAAATGTGCTCCATCCACTTATGATGAAGAATTGGCTCGTCTTGGACTAGAATCGTTTCTTGAAATGCTTTTAATCAATAATCACATCCACTCTGACATGCACCCAGGTTGGTACAAACCATAACAAACACATCAGGTGCTCTAACCAAATGGTGCTTTTAGGTAATATATTGGTGACGTTTGTGCCTACAAATGTCGTGGAGAATACGATAGACAAGATACAATCGGCAGCGATACAACTGCCAAGGAGTCACTCTCGGCAAACGGATGATCAAACGGATGACATTCAATGTACAGAGTTCCGTGCTGCATTGGCGGCAATGGAAGGACATTACAGACCTAGATTGGTATTGTTGGATGTGGGACTGTCTACGACATTGTCACCAGTAAGAAGACGTGATTTGATAGACCTGCTGAGAGCTATAGCGGAGTTTCGAGGAAGGGATGCCGGCCACTTGATGGTTGAGAGATCTCGAGATCCTACGACTGTTATAGATCAGGAAGGGTTTGCTGCTAAAATCGACAAGATCGTGTTGAGTGTCAAGAAGGACACGTTGGCTCTTGGCCGTGTTGGGTTCGGACAAATCTTGAGCGATGTACTTTCTTCAGTGCGCCAACACCGTGTAAGATTAGAAGGTGATTTTGCCAATATAGTCGTGGCAATCATAGTGGTAGAAGGGATTGGTAGACAATTAGATGACGAGCTGGACTTGCTCGCCGCAACGGTAAGAGCAATAGAAACGTCCATTTAAATCTTGTCCCACTGATGGACGTTTATGTTTTTATTATTAGGTCCCGGTATTGTCGAGACTTGACTCGCAAACCAAGGGTGAATTTAGACACATCGTCGGTCAAGGAATGCTTCTCCACGTGGCCAGGTAGGAAAATGTCCATAACTTGTGCCATATAAATTTTGAGCCACCTTCTGATGGGGTCCCTCCTAGGTTCCTCTGGGGCTGGACTTCAGGTGTCGATGTGACCGAATACGAAAGCTACCGCATCTTGTTCCCATACCCGGATCCATAACACCGTGATTTGTATTCTGATGGTGTCTCCATTTGTGAAGTCGACCACATCCCAATTCTAGATTTTCTGTAAATCACGATAGATAAATTATCATACGTAGAATATAATCCTCTCTGTAAGTCAAACTCACTTGGCTTGTTGCACCGCCTTCTTGTAATATTCGAGCATGCCGTCGTATTCAGCTCCAGAGCCTTCATATACAAGAGCTAGCCCCTTCTTCAGCATCTGAAGCCCAACATCTTGAGTTGTAATGCGAGACGAGTTGAAAAACCAAGTTGGTTCATTGAGAACTGTCACCGTGGCTACAAATCGATCATACTGATCCACGCGAAGAATTTTCACCGCTACAATTCGGTTGAGGGCAATCTTGGTCAAGAAGTCCTTAGCTTCACGAGCAAATGGTTGCTCAGCGTGTCCAAAGTGCGATAGTTCTGGTGCATCTACACCCGCAATACGTATTCTTAGGCTGTGTATCGACGGATCAGGTCAAAAATACTGCAGATCACCACTGATCACACCCAGCAAGATCACATCTTATCTTACATTTGTGTCGCCTTCCAACACGTTCTAGCAGAGACATGTAAACCGTCTGCATCAGAAACGTGACAAACAGTTCCAATAATGACATTATCAGCAAACATTGGTCTGAGAATAGAGGATGCCTTGTTGAGCTTCTTGGGTTGATGCCTTGAGCTGACGTGTCCAAGAACCTTCCAGACGAGGCAGAAAAGAATAACCATGATTAAAGCATTAATTGACGCGTTATCCATGACTTGAAACAGTACTTGTAGCTGTGCGCTGCCTGAAGTTAAGGGGAATGCTGGATATTTAAAGTCCAATTCCAAACCCAAACCCTGTATAGCAAGGAGAGAGACTGGTTAGTGTTTTGGCATGTTGATCTACCTTCGTGCATCAGTGCTTGATCTCCCTCTTACTGTTCTTTACTTTGTAGCCTTTGCACTCGCACTGTTACTTTGCTACGACGACCAAAAGTGGTGAAACTGACTTCAACTTTTGTGAATTTTGGGACAATGTTCCTGTACGAGTACATTCGTGCATTGCTACTAGGCGCCGGCCTATTCTTTGTCGTGGAAGTGATCTTGATTATTCGATTGCTACAAAACATCAAAACATCTCAACCAAATCTCGTTGCTGCGTCTCAAGACGCCAAGAAGCATAGAGATGCATGGCCTCCTCAAATAGTGGAATTCTTACAAAACTCCTTGGCACCTGCCGAGTCTGTAAGTTGGTGTCGTTGTGGCTCTTGATCCCTTGGACATGTGTTAATCACGTTTGATGTTTCTTTTCAAACGATCAAATCGAAACAGGATTCAAATAACGCTGTCTCCAAGACACCGAGTCAATCTAGTGTATTACCGCCTGCGCCTCCTCAAGTAACAACGACAGAACAGTGTCACTGGCTCAATGTGTTGATTCATCGCTGGTTTTTGGAATTACGTGTCTCTGAAGTGTTTATGAACAAGATGAAGATCAAGCTCGTTGAAAAGATCAACTACAAGTTGCAATCTAGCAATTTTGTGGTAAGCCCTGCGTCGTTTTTATCTGCTTGGTTGCTGTAAGCCAGAAAAAGCTAAGATATAAAACCATAGTCTCACATCGCCATGACTGATATCTCGCTTGGTGATAATCCACCGAAGATTCACGGTATACGTCTGCTCAAAGGAATAACTGAAGATCTTGTTGTGGTACGTTTGTTGATCTAGATGGAATGTACGATTTTCAACAAACCCAAACTTTGGCATTAGATTGCAGAACTCGATGTCACATATCCAGGTGGCGCGTCAGTTGGTATTGATTGCGTGCTCACAGCAGGCTTCAACATCCCTGTGCGAGTCCACGTCAGTGGTTTTGCTGGAAAAGTAATGTTGGAATCAGTTCGCACGCTGTATGTGTTCTTGATGAACTTACCATTTCTTTATTTGTAGTTGAGAGCACGCATTCCTTCTGTGAAATATCAAGACTCTGTAGGGGTCTCGTTTGTAGAAGATCCAGGTGTCACGTTTACTGTCGAGTCTCCTATAACCGTTGGAGGCATTGAATCAATCAAATCGCTCGTGAATTCTTTATTGGCACGTCTCATCAAAAACCAGTTTATTGAATTTTGGATTCTTCCTAAATGGCATAATGTGTATCTACCCATGATGATGCCGGCTCCTGACGTGGTGCTACAACGAATGGGCATCACAATTCCAAAATCCGATAAACCCGATAAAGACACACGACCCGCTACTCCATCAACCACTCCCACTACTGCGAGTGTACCTACAGCGAATCGTCCATCGGCTCTATCTGCATTGAGAGGACGAAATTGGTCGAATTCAACGCCTCATGGAGATATTCTAGCTGGTAAAGCCTTCCCTCATTCTACCATCGTACCAGATGATATAGCTGGTGTTGAAACTTTAGAGACTGGATTGTTAAACAGCTTTTTGACGCTTGCGCGAGAGTCGGATCGAACGGTTCCTCAAACAGCCACCACAACACCTCCAGAGAAAACGTCAGATACGGCATCAATAGAGAGTACACAAGGTCAACCCACCACTCCGACAGCCATGGAGATTGGCGAATGGAAGGTATGTGATTCGCGACCAGATTGGAGTATGTCCCCATCGTTGATTGATGTACTAAAAACGTTTGAATTATCGCCCAGACTGTCCGGCAGACGAAGCATGAAATCAAAATTCAGAAAAAGAGGGTGGTGGTGGACGGTAAACTTTGTGAAGTTTCCAGGGGTTTGATCCGGATTGCTTGTGATCCAGATAGAGTCCACTCGGTGAGTAATTTCATGGAAGAGGTTACACTATTTGCCAACTGAAGATCTTCATACACTATTAGATTCTGTCCAATCCTGAACATAACCGACACGTTGATGAAGCCTATGCTGGATCGAATGTGCTGAGACAATTTGGTAATGGTGATCAAATTCTGCTCATTGGAAATTATGCTCATTTTTTGCTTTCATAGATGAGAAGCGATTGGTCCGCCAAATAAGTTACAATCTGAATCGAAATGGCCAGCCTCGAGAGTATCTTGTCTTGGAAATCAAGAAGCATCTACACGACTCCAATAGCTCAGTATCTAAAGCCTCAAACTCGCCAAACTCTTTAAAAAATGTGACAACGCATGAAGAATGCTTTGTTATTGTCAGCCGATCTGTTGCCGGTGTTCGAGATGGAGGTGACATCAAGGAACTTATAGCACAGCCATCAGAACAAACATTGTCAGATCCAGCTATGGACCCTCCTATAACGTCATCGCCGTCTAGTGAATCGATACTGTCATCATCACCGTCAACACATAGTATTGGAAAGGAGTTACATATGTCACCCGAAGTCCATCTATTTGGATATATGGTGCTCCCTGTGGCGACTGACCAATCAGCATGTGATGTAGTGATATTGTCGAATATGGCACCAGACCTTTCTCGACTGGAGATAAATTATAATAGCTGTCGTCGAATGAAGACCTTCATAGAAGACCTTGCCAAACTGTCAAATATGTCATCCGTAGATCAGTCTTCCTCTAGAAGTGGTAAGACCGGCGACACTGATGGCTCCACTACTCGAAAGATTGAAAAGCTGAAAGGGTATGTCTCTGCTGCTGGACTGGCAGCGGGTTCATATCTGGCGAAAAACAAGAAAGTCTCGAGCTGGCTGGGTCTACCGGCTGGTTCTTCGTCATCGTCAGGAGTATCAGCAACAGGTGGTGGTAATGGGGTTGGTAGACCATCAACATCTAGTGGCGACGAAATGGAGGCACAAGAGACGGAAGAGGATGGTGAAGAGCTTGCAGAAACAATTGCTGATGCTAGCCCTGTAAAAGAAGATGAAGAAAGCGGTGCCGCATCAGACTCTGAATTGATGTTTGGATCTATTGATGATACAAAATCTATAAAATCCGTCCAATCATCAGTTATACCACCATCACTGCTACCATCATCGTCAAGCACACCACCACCATTCCTGCTACCTACAACAACGGCAACGGCTACAGTACCGTCAGCAATATCATCATCAACAATAGCAGAAGCGTCAGATCCAAAAGCCGGATCATCATCACCGTTAGTACCTGCCCCACCATTGCCGTTTCGACCCAATGAAGAAGCGTCGTTTGAAGAAAGAGTGCTAATACCAAAGGATCCAATCTATCTGGAAACCATATTTGACGCGTCTCGTCATTCAGCCTCATCTATTTATAGTTTTGAAATACGTAGTCCTGTCGAAGGAGTCCTCTCCATATCGATTTCGTTCAGACCCACTCTGGACGAGACGGAAAAGAGAAACGGGGAGGTTCGAGGATATGCAGTCTTGCCTGAAAGTGATGGTCAGAGGTGGTTGTTGCCGACAACTAGTGTAAATATCGGACCAGGTCGGAATGCCAGTGGGAATGTATGTGTGGCTGGATTCTCTTCTGGGATGTGAGTTCTTTGATTCGGTTTCGGTTGGTCTATTTGCTTCAGGTCTATTTGCCTCAAACTCACTGTGCGCCCAAACCGTCTAACAACGGTACATATTAGATTTGTATTGACCATTGAGAACACATCATCAAAGAAAACGACTCGAGACATCGAGTGTCGAACCTCGATTGTTGATACAGCTCTCAAACTCGAACTGGATGTGCTGACTGAATGGTCTCTTGAGCCAAGCGTTGCCAGAAAGTCACGTCTAGCCATTCCCGTAATATATACTGCAGAAATCGAAGGCAACGCACATTTGCAGTGGACATTTTCCACATTTGGTCTGGACGTGGTGTTTGGTATCCTGTATCAGCCACTGATAGATCAAAAGCCAAAGACTTGGGAACAAAAGCTAGCACTACGAGGAAGTGTAAGTAGTGTGACTAGCACAGCCAACTCTGACGATGACAAGGTTTTGGAAGAAGAGAAACCACCGATTGCATCCGACGAAGCCATCGTAAATAGTCCTACCTCATATCGTAACGAAGTTATAGTGGCGCTGATTAAGGTCAATAGCAAGAGCTCGTCTATATCTGGGTCTTTGCCCATTGAAAAGTATGGTATTTATAGTTTTGTATTTGAGAATTCGGCTGTTATATCCCCTAGAGCCGTATCCCTGAAAGCATCACTTCTTCGCATGTAAAATGTAAACGTTTGTAACATGGAACATACACATATCACGGGAAGATTTGGCGTGGATTGCTCGATGGTTGTGAGATGATGGGAAGTGGAGTGCGCTGCTCATTTGTTTTCGGGCGCGGTTACCTAATTTAGCCAATTACGTGATAGTCCATGGAAGTTTAGGATGGAACAACCAACCTTCAGCCACAGCAGAAAATTTATGCTTCACCGTAACAAAAGTTTTCCTACGAAAATAGAATCTGTCATCCTCCGAACCAAAGCTCAACCTGGTTTGTTTTGCACCTTATGGTTCCTGTGAAATGCGTGCAAGTGATCACTTGGTGAAAGAGTCTACTGGATCCAATAACCACCTTGCCAATTGTACATTAACCGAAAACCGCTAGACATGTACAGCTCGTCAATCGGAACTGAAGGAGAGCCTGGAAATAGGTTTGTTGGTGCACTATTATTGAGAACTGCTTGGGTTGCCAGGAGTAAGAATGTAAACTTTTTCCACGCGATGCTAACCGTTTTTTATAACTTTCGGGCAATAGAGTTTACATACTAACAGTTATTCAAGATCCTTTGCGAGCTAAATGCTGGAAGTTCGGCCAAGGACAAGACCGTGAGAGTAGTAAGCCAGTCAATCCTCCTATTATTGTACAGCTCGGATTATCCTCCAATGGCCAATTAGACACCAGGTTCGGATCTAGATTATGACGTTTATGCCTCATGTAATCAAATTTTTGGAGGTGTTAGGAACTGGTTTAACCAATACTATTTTTTGTATTTTTTATTTTTATTGCTAGCATAGAGGCCTTGACGGACTGGCGCGACCTTATTCTTCATTCGTCACTTGTAAACGATGACCACGAAGATTGCTCGTATGTGGCGAATGAAGGTATACAACCTCAAACTCCTGGTCCAAGTAGTGCTACAGGTCCAATACAGTCACAACAATACGGATCTGCATCCGTTTCACACCTCACAACCATGATGTCACCAGTCAACTCACTATCTCTGCCATCCCTTACAATATCAAACTCTAGTCTTGTCGAATCAGATAACGGCAGAGATGGCGGTAGAGATAATGCCAGTAATAGCAGTAGCAGTAACAGCCTCCCAAACATTCAATTATTAGGTCCAAGACATAAATTCAGTGAACCCGTCGCTACTCAAAAAGCAACCAAAAACACTAGAGCAGGTGCCATCAATGCTGCTGTGTCTCCCTCTTTAGCGCCGCTGATAGCAGTACCAGCTCGAAGTGCCCCAACATATCAATTTTGGAGGCCAACTGATCAACAGCATTCGCCACCTGGAACAGGGTATAGCAGAGCATTAGAAGGCAACTTGGCATCATCGAGCTTCCAATTGACTGATTTAGAAGGAAGGAGAGGGGTGTTTTTTGTGTTTGCTGAAGTGACGGTTCGTGTTGAGGGAACCTTTAGACTGAAATTTGATCTATACAACCTGAACCAGTGAGCCAGCGAGGAATGCGTTTAAGCAGTGCCTTATGGATTGCATTGCTCACCTTCTTTATGCTCGTCACCATAGTGTCATGCCGAACTCGACCTTCACAACAACAAACACATTAGTTGGAAGGAGACTTGCAACTACCACAAGTGCCAGATTTATATCATACAGTCCAAGAGACTATCTACAATTACAACAGCAAGGTAGGCCCGAAGCGACGAACAAATTGGCGACTTTCGTGATGTATCAACAATCCAAACACCGTTTTAGCTGAAAGTTCGGAAATCTCCAAGCACTTTGCTGAGCAAGGACTGGTGATCCCTATACGTAAATCAGCCAGAATAAAGCATGGGTATGCATACAATCATGAATTCGTAGTAAGCGTATCCAGTGGTTGACTTGAACTTTCCTCGACTGTTTAGGATGTTTGCCACAGTAGCAACAGACAACTGAAAAGAAACGAAGCCTCATGCTCCTCCCACTAGTACATAACGTTTGCAACATTGTAGATATCACTTTTGCCCGAGAAATTATTAGACGATTGCAGGATGAAAGTGGAAGTTGAGTCCATTTTGTTGTTTTGAAGGAAAGGGGGTAAACTTTGGTGGGGCGGAGAGCCACAACGAGAGCGGTTGCTCCAAGCATAGGTCATGGATGCTGATGACCTATAGAGCTGGCATGTTTAGGACAACCCAACAGTTCAAGCAGTTCTACTTAGCAACGCCGTTGTGGCACTGCCACTACGATCCAACTTCTCTTGGCGAAACGAGAAACAAGATCTGAATGAACAACATCGGACGATCGGCACTCTGTTCATCACATTCACGCGTTTATTATGGCACAACCACGCTTTCTGAGTTGAAGTGCCCAGCATCGTCGTAATTGATTAGTAGAGGAAAGTGTCAATATATATACTACGTAAAAATATCCAAAAAAATATTCAAATAGCCAAATAATTCATATGATTTATATGATTTCATTTCAACCTGTTTCAGCTTGAGCCTGCATCTTTCATTCCTTCACAGGCAATCCAGTTACAAGCATCACAATCCAGACAGGACGCAAGAGACAGATAGATCCATCACCATACAAGCATCATAGGCACATAATCTAATTTCTCGCTTCGTTTCCAATGGCCTCAGAACTAGCACTGTCCCTACCATCCGGCGATAATCATTTCGACGAATTGAGAATCAAGTCTACCTCATTCATACGGGACTTTGATATATGGATCTCCTCAAAAAAGGCTGAATATGTACAGGCTCGTACTCTTCATCAACGGCAAGCTGTATCCGATGCAGGTAAGTAAATTTGGATTACATTTGATGTTTGGAACGAAATGCTGATCTGGGTCTTATTCACTATAGACAATCAGGAAAGGACAACAAGGCAAATAGATTCCTGTATTGCTAAGGCTGCTGAGATATCGTCAGGTGGAGTTCTTGTCTTTCCTTGCCTTTACATCACCCACATCAAATTGAATGCTGATCAACTTTCCAACAGATCATCATACCCAACGAAGAAACATTGAATCTAATACACGAACATTGGAATCACTTCAAGAGAACGCCAAGGAACGATCATCTGCGAAACAAGAATTGGAAATCCGAGTCAACAATCTGGCTTCAGATATTAAGAAGAGGAGAGAAGGTGTGCCTTACATTGTCAAACCCTTTCAAGCTTTGTATTATGTTGCTTACAAGTACCTCTACATCATAGCATTGGCACAACGACGTCGTAGTCGACTAGAACAAGTCCTAAACCTTCAACCAGAACTACAGGCTTATGAAGAACGACTCAAGATTCATGTTGGAACATTGAAAGGTCTGTCACTACCAACATCGATCTCTCTACGACATGAAACTAAATTGTTTCTCCTTGCTAGAAAACCTGCTCCTGTTCAAATTCACACACATTAACGAACGTGATCACAGCCAAGAATATCAATTTGTGGTTGATGTCAATGAAAAAGCATACAAAGGTAGATATAGGATTGATCGATATGTGGGTCTTTCCTAAACTGACGTGCTTTCTCAACCAGTGGTGGAATGCCATCCACAGTTGGACGATCTGAACAAGAACGTAACGCTGCTGAATGAGACACGTGATTTCTATGATTTCCTTAAAATTATGCGTCAAAGTTTTGTTAAATACTCCAACTCTCAATATACACTCTAAAGTTTTCGTGTCACCGACATTGCACCATCATTCAATAACTTTGCAGCCGCTGAAATTTCAACAAAAGCTCAACATGGAGATGGATGCAGGTTCTGTAGATGAGCTGCCATATAATGGGTCCATGTAAGAGCCTGCTTGGATTCGCGTCCTTGCCTGTGTGGCTAATAAGAATACATACTTTGTAGGAAGGAATTGACGATCGGTGAAAACAAGATCGTTATTAGCAAGATCAAAAATGAATACTTTTCAATGGCAGGACTTTGTTCTCACTACAACGCTCCACTGGTTAAAGGTGTTCTTAGCAAAAGCGGAACACTAGTTTGGTTTGTGGTGACTTTGAAGGGGCGTCATTCCAACGATTTTGTTTCTCAACGATTTCCCATAGTCCCTTCCATGGAGCTTGTTTCGATGTAACTACTGGTGCCATTGAAGATGGTCCCGCATGTGATTCTCTCCCAACATATCCCGTCCGCGTCGAAAATGGTCGCTTAATGGTCAAGGTCACCGAAGCTCAACTCACCGTGAAGAAATTGTCGCCAATTCCCAAAGTCGTCAAACATTGTGGAGCTCAAAAAACCGTAGTAATCGTTGGAGGTGGTGAAGGGGGTGCAGTTTGTGCAGAGTCTTTAAGACGTTATGGATTCAATGGGAAGGTCATCGTGTTGTCCAAGGAGCCCTATCTACCAATCGATCGACCGAAGTTGAGTAAAGGACTTGGAGTAGATGCCGCTAAAATCGCTTTACGAGATGATGCCTTTTATAAATCAAACAAGATTGACATTCGGTTAGGTCAAGTACGTTTAATTTTCGACTGATCGTACACCGAAGCTGGTTGTTTACGACACCTATTTGTTAATAACATTACCTATGTTCATTTAGGAGGTGAAATCGATGGATTTGGGAGCCAAACAAGTCATTTTGAGCACTTCTGAAACGATTTCCTACGATTATGTTGTCGTAGCTACCGGCAGCGTTCCAAAGAAAATTCCAATACCTGGCGCAGATGCCAAGAACGTGTTTACTCTCCGGTCTGTGTCGGATGCTCAAAGTATTGAAGCAGCTCTATCTGGAAGTCAAGCAAGCAAAGTGAGTGCTGACATTGTGGTTTGTCCAGATCTTATTTTCATCCTGTTCCTCAACCAGAAAAAGGTCGTACTTGTTGGTGCCGGTTTTGTTGGTCTCGAACTAGCGTCAGTGCTTGGAAAGACCGCGGACGTGACTGTCGTGGCTCCAGAAAAGGTGACACCGACTTGAGGTTTTCTCGCGAACTATTCTCAAGAAGCTTTCGCTTTTAGGTGTTGTTCGAACCAGTCCTTGGCAAGGAAATGGGCCGGTTCTTGCTGAGATTACATGAGTCTCAAGGCATCAAATTCAAACTGGGCAATGGTGTGAAATCATTCAACGTGACTGGTATGCAACATGCAGGTATATTTCAGCTTATGCTCGGTCGCTTATAATCATCCCCTCACAGATTCACTGGTGACATCCATAACTACAAACAGTGGTGAATCAGTACCAGCAGACCTAGTGATTATCGGTATCGGTGCAGGTCCAGTGACTACTATGGTCCCACCAGAGCTGCTATTGCCGAATAAATCCATCTCAGTAACAGCGGAACTACAATCCCTATTCGACTCTAGTGTATACGCTATTGGTGACATCGCAACCTTCCCTTATCATGCTTCTGCGTCAGTAGAGTCACCATGGATGATGCGAATCGAGCACGTATCTGTAGCTCAAAATCACGGTCGTCTCGCAGCAAAGAATATAGTAGCTGAGATATCGGGCCAACCACTAGAGAGATTCGTGACAACCCCATACTTTTGGACTGCACAAGGTGGTAAATCCATACGATATGCAGGTGTTGTCCCTCCAGATTATGGATTTGATGAAGTTGTTGTACAGGGAGATGTAGATGGTGATCTGGACAAGATATCTTTTGCAGTGTTTTATGGACGATTGAATAAGGTGGTTGCTGTTGGTAGTGTTGGACGTGACCCTGTAGTCTCAAAGTGTGCTTCGCTGTGGAAGGCCAATGTGCCTATTCCATCAATTGAAGAGCTGCAAAAAGGTGCTGATGTCTTGAGTGTTGAAGAGCCGAATTTCAATCATTTATAAACTTTTCTGTTACACTGATGCTTCCAGAATACGAACATGAGATATCAATAACGTAAAAAAATGTTATCTCGTGCAATTTTCAAGCGATGAGGCGAGCTAACAGTACTCACAATTCATGGTCTTCACAGCGTTTCGAAACTTGGAGGACTAAAACTGACAATGAGCTCAAACTGACAATGACCATCCACAGAAGCGATTCTCAGTATACATAAACATAGCTGTGAGAATGCCACGATATGCTTTTATCGTTCGAAAGCCCATAGCTCGAGTAGGTAGAGCCAACTGCGTCTCGCGTTGACGAAGGTGATGATGCTCAGCAAGGGAAGACGGAACGAACAAAAGTGTGTCCCTCATTCTATGAACAATCATAACGACCGCATTCCATGATAGTTGAACATCCTCGGAAAAACCGCGCCAGCCAGTTGAATTTCTTAGAGTTAACTCTCAACTTGAAGAATGAAGAATGAAAGACTATAATTAACGAACCAGTCAAATCTCTACATGATAAGAACTTCAGACACAAATGGACTGTTTTGTATAAGATATAGCATTAATCTTCAATATCCGGCTCTCGGTCATTCCTTTAACAAAAGAAATAGAAGTTGAATGCAAAATCATAGCTTTCGACAAAATAGTATAGCAGAGCGGAAGCTGGCAGAAGTCTGAGTTGAATTCAGAGTTAAGGTTGCGGGTCATTACAAAGAAAAGATGTCGACATACTTTGCTCAACGTGTCATATGATCATTGTGGTTGACGACAGCAGGGACGACTTTGAGCGAAGAAACATTGCCAAAAATTAGTCACATTCACAAATTCAATGAAAATGTGATTGATTTTTTATTTGCTGACAACGTGATGAGATGTCTGGGTTACGCTCTTGTATTCTGTTAATTCTGTTTCCAGTGTGTTTGGATTCGATTCAGCGTGACTCTTGTACTTGAGCAAGGATATTTTATCCATGATCTAGAACATTATACCTGCCTTAAGATTGCCACTTCTCATTATCCCGCTGGCGGGATCCTAAACATACGATATGGCGTATCGATCCAAGATGGCTGGAGTACGCAATCACTTTCACAACATCACAATCAAAGAAGAACGATGGTTTAATGACGCTGATCTTGATGATTCTATGAAGAAAAAGAGCGCGAAAGTCCGGTGGTGGGGATTCCCGTCAAAGTGACGGAGTTCTGTGTATCGACACGCAACCAGTTAGTTGGCCGTTCCTTTGTATGTAGAGCGATTTCTAATTGTAGAATTGAAACACATTCTTCTGTGCTGGAGCGATGGAAATTTAGAGCCGGAGGCTACGATTGACTGAAATTCTGGTTGCTGTGGTGAGAGAAAAGATTCCCTTTACACTCAGGTTTCGCGTGGTACATCAACTAGAGAGACTCAGCGACAGTGACCCAAAGCCCCTCAAAGTATACGCAATCTGATTAGTCTCTGATGATTGATATGCGGATTAGTCTCTGATGATTGATATGCCAGGAGAGTCAAGGATGATCGCCAGAGTTGCGTTTCGATGTATCAAAGTTTTGATTTTCGGGACGTCCATAGGCTTCGACGGATGTTGGGAATGATTTCAAGGGCGCATATACCATAGTAAAATCAGAGACTTGTGATGCTTCATATCAAGCAAGCCTGGATAAACTGCTGAACGGAAAATTGCTCTAAGCCTTTGACTCGATGGTCCGTGTTGAGATCTAGATGTCTAG